TCTAACCCTAGTAACCTTACAGCTAGATTTATTTTCATCAGTTGTAATGAGCATAGAAAACTAGTTCTTCGAGACGTAAGCGTCTTAAGTGAGTTCGTTAGTGGTGATTGTAATTGAATTAAATGTCCTTGTTTCTAAACACCAAGTCGACGACAGCATATCCTCTCGTAATGAATTCTGAACTACTCGGCATACTTTACAGAGTAATTTGTAGATGAAACAGAAATGGCTACATTTTAATATATCTTTATTTATAGCAGGACTTTGTGGAATGAAGTGTGATTTAGATTTACCCTATAATCCATTTTATTGTTAACACTTACCAAATTACATTTCATTGCCTAAAAGCATACTTTGGGTATGCCCTTAGAAAAACCCTACTACTGAAAACACGACACTTGTTCGATACAAGTATTATTATATTAGTATGATCAATAAATTTCTGTTCGATATTGAGTTTCTCGCGTATATAACAAGGGCGGTAATCGGAAGCCTACAGGATATCAATATTCCTTCAATTGAATACAAAATAAAAATTAGATAACTTTAATTTAATAATGTTATTTTAAAAGACAATATTTTCTTAAACCTAGCAGAATCATATAATTATTTTATTTACTTCATTTTTAATTAAAAATTAAATATTGTGTTACAAATACCAGGTAAAAACATTATTGGTTGTATTTATAGACAATATAACTTCAACCTTTTTCACGGCAATATACACCACATTCTTGTGAATATACGCCCACACAGCAGCTTTGTTTTAAATAACAAGAATATTTGCACTCCTATAAGGAGTAAAATTTGTAATTATTAATAGATCCGATTCAATCGCTTCTCTGGATAAGGTATGCTCACAAACTTTTCACTGTCGGTACTGTGATATCCCATTTTATTGAGAAGTGTGAATTCAGAAAAAAAAAACACTTGGCCATAATTACATGACATCATCGTCACAAATACCATTACAATATATTCACATACAAAGGTCAGGTGATTTCATTTAGGCGAGTATGTAATAGTAGCATCTTCTTAAAGGGAGATAATAATGATGAGGGCATTAATTTTTTTTTAAATTTCCAACAACAAAATATTTCACCATGTCTATAAATTTCATTTTTATATTAACTATCTCTTATGTATATACATGGAAAAAAATTCATATATAGTTTTTTTTTATAGTTTAAAATAGAAAATAAATAGTTAATCATAAATACCACTTTTTATTATTATTATTTCATTTTCAAGCAAAATTTGCAGATTGTCATGTATCCGACAATATACTCTCATAGAGATATACGTCCCACTCAGCAGTGGATGGTAAAAACAAGAAGAATATTTGAACTCCACTATCGGAGTAAAAATAAACGAAACATAGAACGATGTTGGCTTGCATAAGACAATAGATAGTGTCATATAAAATAGTTGCATGGTGTAGTTACGTCCACCAGGTAAAAACATTATTGGTTGTATTTATAGACATTATAACGACAACCTTCTTCCCGGCAATATACACCACATTCTTGTAAGGTATGCTCACAAACTTTTCACTGTCGGTACTGTGATATCCCATTATATTGAGAAGTGTGAATTCAGAAAAAAAACACTTGGCCATAATTACATGAGATCATCGTCACAAATACCATTACAATATATTCACATACAAAGGTCATGTGATTTCATTTAGGCGAGTATGTAATAGTAGCATCTTCTTAAAGGGAGATAATAATGATAAAGGCATTATCATTTTTTTAAATTTCCAACAACAAAATATTTCACCATGTCTATAAATTTCATTTTTATATTAACTATCTCTTATGTATATACATGGAAAAAAATTCATATATAGTTTTTTTTTATAGTTTAAAATAGAAAATAAATAGTTAATCATAAATACCACTTTTTATTATTATTATTTTCATTTTCAAGCAAAATTTGCAAATTGTCATGTATCCGACAATATACTCTCATAGAGATATACGTCCCACTCAGCAGTGGATGGTAAAAACAAGAAGAATATTTGAACTCCGCTATCGGAGTAAAAATAAACGAAACATAGAACAATGATGGCTTGCATAAGACAATAGATAAAATAGTTGCATGGTGTAGTTACGTCCTCAAATCTGTGATGCCGTATTTTCCACTGACTTTGAGATCTCAGACATTTTCAGTTACCTAAAATAAGACCCTACTCCCCAGAGTACAACACGACAATCCGGTCGGGGTCGTAGTCGGTGTTAACGAGGAGTAAAGACCACGTGACAGACTTTCTTTGTGGTTCAAAGGCGAGCACAGTATTACAGTTGTGACAGAAACCTGCATATTAATGACACGAAGTTATTACCTATTACATTAGACCGTTTATAATCATAAGCCTATTTGTCAATATGAATGCAATTCAAAATAACATATCGCTTTCTAATACAGTTATGTGTATAACACGTACCATATATTTTACTCTTGTAAGGGAGATAATCGAAAAGACGCTGATATTAATTTTTTTTGATTTTAATTTGTATTAACTATCTTTTATATATAAATATGGAAAAAGATTTCAAATATGATTTTATAATTTAGAATAAAAAAAATATAGTTAATCAAAGTTACCACATGTTATTATTATTATTATTAAATTTTAAAGCAAATTTCGCATCATGTACGACAATATATTCTGACAGAGAGATATGTCCTACTTAGCAGTAAATATAACCGAAACTTAGGGACCATGATGGCCTGCATAAAACAAACAAATAGTGTCAAATACAATCGTTGCACGGTGTAGTTTCATCCTCAAAGCTGTGATACCGTATTTTCCACTGACTTTGTGATTTCAGACATTGCAGTTTCACAAAATTGGATGCTAAATCTATCAATATATCGCTAGCTCATACAGTTATGTGTATAACACGTACCAGGTTATATTTTACTCTTGTAAGGGAAGTTATCTAAAAGATGTAGATATTAATTTTCTAATTTTTAAAGAAAAAAATACATATTAATATATTTGAAATTACCCTTAAAATTTTACAAATGTTTTTTTTTTGTAACTTAAGAAATCAAATATTTCACAATTTGACACGATATTTAATAATAAAAAATATATATTGTGTTTTAAATACCATTTATTAATAGTATTATATCTAGATATATACAAATACAACAAACCTATTTATTACGACAATATACCCCACTATCATGTGAATATATGTCCCATTGGTAGCTTTGTTTTAAATAAGAAGAATATTTGAACTCCTGATTAGGAGTAAAATGATATAATATGATGTAACCTAATAACTGCTCGTAATAAGGCGAGTGATTATTCTTTGCCATGGCATCCTGTCGTTATATAGTATGATATTACAGGACCATGGAACACGTACTGTACAACGAAAATAAAGGATGATGTCATATAGCGTATCGACGAACTATAATTGCTACATGCTGTCATATAGCGTATCGTCGAACTATAATTGCTACATGCTGTCATATAGCGTATCGACGAACTATAATTGCTACATGCTGTCATATAGCGTATCGACGAACTATAATTGCTACATGCTGTCATATAGCGTATCGTCGAACTATAATTGCTACATGCTGTCATATAGCGTATCGACGAACTATAATTGCTACATGCTGTCATATAGCGTATCGTCGAACTATAATTGCTACATGCTGTCATATAGCGTATCGACGAACTATAATTGCTACATGCTGTCATATAGCGTATCGTCGAACTATAATTGCTACATGCTGTCATATAGCGTATCGTCGAACTATAATTGCTACATGCTGTTATATAGCGTATAGTCGAACTATAATTGCTACATGCTGTCATATAGCGTATCGTCGAATTATAATTGCTGCTTTTGAACAAATTTTCACATCGCAAGGGAAGTAACTGTGTTAACAAACATACTATTACTAAATTGTAAATGGGGTTAGGGGTTTCTTTCAGATTCGTCCATCTGACCAAGTTGATTGCAGTTTTGTATCCGGAACACATGTCAGCAACATAAACAGCACATGCTTGAGATAAAGGTCCAGATGCAGTTCCGTTTCATGGGTTCCACGATCGTCAAATGAAGACTATTTTAAACGAAGCATTTCAGAAATTTGTTGCATATTTTAATTAGATCATCTGTTGCATTATTATTAACGCATGTAATCTCTAGATTATTTTATGAATTAAAATATTATGCACTGTGCAGTGACAGAAATTGTGTCAGGACAAATTTTTTGCACAACCTGTTGTATATTGGGGTCTGTTTATTGTGCTATCCGAACGACTAGACGCCTTTTCCATGCATAGTGTTTTATAATTTGTAACATTAATAACTAGTTCATTAAAGTGGTGATGATGTTTATATTTTTTAGCATTTTGTCCCGATGGAAAAATAGGTTATTGAGCAAAAGACGTTACCATCTAACATGAAAGGCAGTTTCTACACTAAAACAACCACGAGTAAAAAGAAGTGTGTAGACGCTTGTATAGATGATGCCAACTGTGGTGCCTTGTTATTCAACAGCGTGGGACGAGAATGCAATGATGCCCTTTCTTCGGCTTCATTGGGACAATCATCATCACATACCTTTGGTCGTAAACTATGTTTCTAAATAAAATCCACAATATTTTTTATATGCATATTGAATAGCCACAGAGAAATAACGCAAAACTTTTATAACGTACGACATCCATAGAGTCTACATAGCTAATAAGGTTTATTCAGTAATGAGGTTTTCTAGCATTTTCTGTGTATCCAATGTACAGTCAAAATCCGTGGTTATAACAAAGTCACCGGTTTATGCGTTATTTCAAATGTTACAAAATCTATATATATATATATTAAAGCAAAGGCAGTCTAATATAATCATTGACATTGTCATTATCATTGCAGTTTTCAAATGATAGGTCATGAAAAAACGATTAGCCAACCAAAATATAGTTTGGATATAAATTGCTTAAATGAACATGTATGCCGTAGCGTCAGAATCATTTAAGGTGATAGTCGCTTTGTAACAGTACACTTAAATGAGCCAGGAAGAAGTGTTGATTCATTGCCCCAAGTTTCTGAGTACATAGAAGGCAATGGATCGTCACCTTTCGTGAAAGTAAACTTTTGGAGTAAAGATGTAACGTAAAGAAAGATGCGTGATTTAGAAAATGATTCACCAAGACAACTTCTTCTACCAACTCCAAACGGAATAAATCTGAAAAGTAGAATTTAAAAATATGTGAAAGGGAATCTAAAGACTTTAAAACCACAGTTTGTATAATTACGTACCTTTCCGAATTTCCGACATACGCCTGTGGTTTCCTTTTTTTTCGAGAAATATCACTAGCGAAAATTGTATTCAAGTCAAATGGAAATTCACGCCACTATTCTGTCAAAAAACCCCATTGCCCACTAGCACTATAGCTCAATTTGTAATGCAAAAAGAAACATATTTAAATTAATACAAAAAGCAGAGACAGACAAACCAAGAAGATGTTCTCTGCACTCGTATCTGTTTACATACAGTTTAATTAAGGATTATTCCTCCTTGATTCCCATAGAACCCGCCTGTGTACATATTATTTTAAATCACTTACTGTTGTCTAGTCGGATGATCAAGTGGTAATATTTTCCCATGTTCGTCAAGAAATCTATCTGGATTAAACTGTTCGGGATTTTCCCAGTGTTTTTCTGAATAAGCCATTGACCAATAATTGGTAAAAATCTGAAATTTAATTTGTATCAAAGTCGAATAAGTTATAACTCTCTATTCTCTCTAGATCTGACAACATTTTCCTTGCAGTTATGTCTGAACGGATGATAGAACTAACCTATCAAACCACAGGAAGTGTCATTGCATTTTAATCAGTTTTTCGAAACAATAAACAGTAAAAACAAACATGGAGAAATACAACTGACGATATGCATGAAATGTTAAGTATATTAAGTATGGATTGAAAATCATAGTCACCGTTGAGTTAGCAGGAATCCTGTAACCATCAATATCTACATCCATCCTGTTACAATGAGGTACACCATAGGGAACATGACGGATAAACCGTAAAGTTTCCAAGATGGCTGCATTTGTGTAATGCATGTGTTGCCTATCATGTATTGTAATTTCCATATCGCCTATTTTATCGTCTATTTCATCTTGGATACGCTTTTGAACATCTGGGTGGTATAACATTAGAAGGAAAAATCCACTTAATGTTCCTTTCGTTGTCACAAATCCAGCAGTTATTATATTACCTAGTATACCTTGAACTGTTTCTTCAGTCATATCTTTATCATGTTCTTGGGTCTTGAATACAACACCAAGGAGCCCTTTGTTATGCTCGTTCAATTTCTAAAGAATACAAGGGAAGAGTTTTAACAACCCTACGAGCTAAAACAAAACCTGAAACAATCCATTTGTTTAGTCAAAGGCATATACGCCCCAAGCATAAAATTATTCATAACATGCCAGTATGCACAATTCAATAATTCTTCGATGCTTCAGACCCTTTTGGGCCCTTTTAAGGACTTCTCCTTTAAGTCATTTGCATTCTTATTTACGACCCAATAAATTAAGCACCCGTACACTACCTTTATCATTTCTGGATTTAGAAATATACTTCTCATGGCATATAAGCTAGAAATAAAATAATCATATGATGTCTTTATGGGACCTGGTATAAAGCGTAACCATGGAAATAATGTAAACATCAGATTAACTTCTATTTGGAACATTTTAATCAAAGCTTTATCAAATCTGTCTACCGCTTCAACGACCTTTTCTGTATCTTCTGGGGTTTCATTAATTAACTGAAATACAAGATAATTTCATAAGAGATGTTATTACGTGCATATAGTACATATTACTGTTTTTTAACTTCAGTCCGCCTATGTATCATTCACGAACACAGACATATATATACTAATATATTCGTATCATCTTTAAAAAGTAAATGAAGTTAAACGATCGATCTTGAGATTGGAGAATTAAGTTTTTTGCGACTGATTGGAATTGGCGGTATCTGGTATAATTTAACTAACCTCTAAACCTGAGCGACAGATTAAAAATTTAATAGTAGACCCAAACTACTAATCTATGCCTCACAGAAGCTTAAGTAGTCGGTCAATTATTCGATTTGAGTTTAGTGACGGATGAATTGAGATGCTTTAAAGCATCATTGGATCTGAATCAAGTTATGAAAAATATTCTGGGACTACTTCAAATGGAAACAGGAACCTTCGGGTTAATGGAAACCACCTTTCAAATTTAATATAACTTACAAATATGTATATAATCCGTATCAATGATGTTGTTAATGCTGCATCAATATCAAAAGATTTAACTGTGGTATCATCACCATCAGCTGTCATAGATTTTTCTAACAGCCGAATTTCAGACCCAACCATCTCCTCAAATACCTGGATTCCCTCTCCATAAAGCTTTACGGTGGTGTGTACCATCTTCCGCAATTTCATCTGCACCGCATCATAGTCTCTTAAAATAATATCACTACCTTTCTGTGATAAATTCGTCTTGAAGAAGGACGGAGGTCGATCAGCTGTCACATCACGATAGGCCACAGATGTGAATAGCTTCCGTATAGTTTGGGCACTATTTAAGAAAACCATACACGTGCCTGGAAGTTTAAATGTCACTATCTCTCCGTATTGCTTGTATAAATCATCCATGACAACATGCATCTTAGCATCTTCGCTTCGTAACAAATATTTGAATAGTTTGAGACATTCCCATCTTGAAGGTCCTGGTGGTAGTGGTAGCTGTTCTGTTTCATTACTTTTGAGCCAGTATAGAATGACGAAAGTCAAAAACAGTATTACTACCGACACTAAGATAATACTCATTATGCACCTGATGCTGACGATGTAAATAGTTGAAACGTTGTTTTACAGAACTTAGACTAGTCGCTAGTGGTGATTGTGGTGAATTTTCATTAGATAACCTGCAAAACAAAATTTGGGTCTGTAATTGGAAATAAAACAAACAGTTAATACAAGTCGAAGATGATACAGATCAGCATGGTTTTACCAAGTTAATGCTGGTGATGCTAGAATTTCTAACACGGACAAGTATTAGACAGATAGTAAAGAATCGCATGTACTCCAGGCTCGTAGACAGATTTCACTGTTCGGGAAAGAGGGGAAATCAAGATCTTTCGTTGTAGCTACTGGCCTGATATATTCTGAAGCAAGAATAGGTGCGATTGTTAATATTATTTGACACAATAATGAAACATGTAAGATGTTAAATGGATTAGTTTGTTATATTAAACCTCTTTGGTTGAAGCACACTCGAGAAATCGAATAAAGTATAAAGATCATAGTACAGACACCAACACGACACATATAACATATATATTGATACATAGTAAATATAAAGTTAACTTCAGTTTGTATATACCCATTTAAAACAAAGTCGTCTCAGTATTTCATATTCACAGTATTGGCAGTTCATGTTCAATTGTCCGTCCGTACCACTTTTCAAAAGAAAATCACACTCCTCCTACTCTTCCTACAATTAAATAAAAATTAAAATTGGAAGTCTAAATCTATATCTTCAGAGTATATTGATAATGTCGATATCGATATAACAAAACTTACTGTTTTGTTTATTCAGGTCAAGGCACAACTATTTATGACAAGATTTCTTATCAATTAATAACTAAACGTATCTCTTTTTTTTCATAATCACGTTATTCAAATTTTAATATAACAATTTGATGACCTTTTAGCGCGTTCCTATTAGTAATTTGTTGCGTATGTAGAGTATCTATGAAGGGTTTGGTGTCAGACAGTATATGCTTATTCTTCTAGACACCTGATACCAATTTTCATCATGAAATACATATTCGCCTGTGGTTTATATACTTGTGAAACGACATTTCGCTAAAATATTGTTTTGGATTTCGGTACACGTACTTGGTTTATTTATTCTATGAGAGCTGAAAATCATTAAACCATATCAATTCTACAAATTTATTCAGAAATTTAAGAGATTCAGTTCAATACTAGATAGAAATCAACCTTTACTTACACAGATTGCTGTCCATCTGAATACTTTACCAATAGAGAATCAACCCGATTAAGTCAATGTTCAACATGTGTCAACTGGGCCGATAGTTTAAAGATATAGCGAAACAAGACGTAGCTTGTTGGAATGTCAGTCTTGGACATAAGACTTACCTACCAGCGTCCTAGAGGCCCAGTGATGTGATCCTTTCGATGAATACACAATGCAGACAATCAATGTGTTGGATAGTAAAAAGAGGATTGATGAACTGAACAATATACAAGACTATGGTTAAAGTTTTTTAAACTCCAATTCCATTTTTTCATGGTGATCATCAGACTGTTGCTCAGTCGGTTAAAGCGTGGAAATTTGCTTGCTTACCTGGAACAAAATAATGGTGGTCGTGGGTTCTGGTCTGGTTACCTTGACTAAGTCAGCTTTATTTATTTTTACTGTTACCCCAGCTAAAAAGAAAGGGCACAGATAATCCGGAAAAGACAATGCCGTGAGGTCCGACCAAGAACCAGCTGGTGGAAGCTCCTTGCGAAATCACCAACTTGTATCTTCATTGTGCTAAATTTTACTTAGGGAAGGTACGGGGTGCAACCGGGAGAAAGCAGGAAAGGGCTTAGGGTTTTTTTTTGTTTCCTTCTTAACCCTATTCCATTCCGTTTTGTTTCTTTAAGGGCTTCATTGGTTTGCAGAATTTTCTACTCAAAACACTACCTGATAGAAATAGAATCTTTTATTGCACTTAATGAACACAGTTTTACAAAATTAAGAACAACAGATTATTTTTGGTTTCTACATCTGACCTCAGACAGAATAGTAACTAGTAAAATATTGACCCAATATTTTGGGCGGTCTGCTTGTCCCTCGACCCTTCGTCAAGAAATTTTACTTTATCAGGAGAAATTAACTTTATCAGGAGATGTTCGTTAAATCTGGAAGTGGAGCAACATGTTGACCACGAAAAATATCCAAGTTGTAGCTGTATTTTTATGGGAATATAAACAGCTTAGGCACCAACTGAGAAATTATCTAAATGCTGTATATAAAACTGTTTATATCAGATACGTTATCTCTTTCTCAATATTCTAAGGTTCAAAAGAGAAAGATACAAATTTGTTATCAGCACAACTAATTATCTCTTCTGCTAAGGTCAATAACACACTAAGACCCATGTAATAACATAATTATCAAGGTTAAAGATAAAAATATGACGGCGATAATATGCACAAATAAAAATATTTTTCTGTACTTTTCTTCTTTCTGAAAAATAAAAATTGGGACATTTTCGATAGTCTGGCGCAATTTAGAAAAATTTGGGAACGTATTTGACTGTAAGCTCATTTCTGAGATAATTTGTGAATCTTGGACACTCCTTTTTTAAATACTACTTATGTGATCCATGATATTCCAATTAATCCTAACCGGATATGACGTTTGCATTTACCATGTTTGAATGCTTTTTCATGATTTTCTGTAAACCAGACAATAAATATATAAGCTTTTTACCATTTTATGAAGTTGGTTGTCATCTATAGATTTTAAATTAGCATTGGAGTTAGTAGTGGTTACTGACTGATTTAAATCATTCATTGGCGTAGGCTTTACTTTTCTCTCTGAAATGTTCAATGACCAAACTTCAAAAGGGTAAATTATTCACCGACAATAGGATAAACGATCCAAACATACAGGCAAACAATTAGTTTCTTTTTGCAATTTGTTTTAAGCTATCATAACTAAGTTGATGAGACACCCCCTCTAAACTGGAACCAGTCAGGAGAGCCTTCGGTTTACAGGAGTTTCACTATATATATGGACAAAACTGTTTATAATACACCGGTTTATGAATTGAATTTGAAGTGGATTTTTCCTCTGGCATGGTATATCATATAGTATTATGGATATGAGGGGAATTTTCTAATTCGATTTTTAAGAGAGTAAGATAATGATGTAATGATCTTACCTTCTTTAAATTTAACAATTAATGGTAATGCTTCCATTAAAATTATAAAAACAGTTTTATATATGATATAAATAACCATTATAGCTACAAACGCTTTTGGAGCATTACTTTTATTTAAGTCCAAACCGATGAAAACAGCAATAACTGAAAAAAAATTAAATCAAAATAATGAAGAAAACGTGGTACATTTGAAAATTTCAAAACAAACTAGCAAAGGATACGCATCTTTGCTTGAAGAAACAAACATGGATATAGAAAATCATACCTGCTAAAGCAAAGCTTGTAAAACCAACTGATTTATGACACCAATTGAATATGTAACGTTTTGGGGCATCGCCATCCGGTCTAAACAATGCCATTATGGGCTGAAAATGGAAAATAAAGATAATACATCAGAAGAGGACCAATTGTACCAAAAAGAGTGTGATTCCATAACAGAAGACATATGGGCATTTGCTGGGTGGCTTGATTTGCAGAATAACTGATAACAACTACTTTTAAAATAGATGCTACATGTATTTTCAACATCAATGTTCATAGCAGAAGGTGTTTACTATCCCTTTTCATTTCTTATCCGTAGCTATCGTAACTATTGACTTCTATTCATTATTTTCCTGAATTCCTCATTGCAGATATAAGACAATTGAATGAGTACTCACATTGGCAATAGTTAAGATGACGACAATAAAACCTATCACAGGATGAAATTGCCAGTATAATCTTCCCGGAATATCTGGCATCTGAAAAAATAGAATCCATCATCGCACTGAAGGATGTTAGCATTAAGAATACCTTATTTATATGTAAATGTCTTGTCTGCATTTATTTTTGGTGTGTGGACTAATGATGTCATCACGGTGAAAAGCTGTAATGGATTGGATTCCCTCTCGAAGCAAATAAACTTTGATGGACTAAGTTTGCTTTTAAGTCTATTTTGATACTGACGAGATTTCCTTCAAATTATTTATTAAGAAATCAGAAAACAAAATGCATCAATATTTAACATTTCGAAATCGAAAAAGGTTAGTCCAAATAACACATTCGTCTCAAACAATTATAACGATATATCGGTGACAATACCTTGCTTATTCCATCGACTTCTATAACTATTAATAGTAACGCCAATAAAGTTAAAATCAGAGTGGATATCATACATATTCTATGAGTCTGAAAAGATGAAATAATTCATAATGTAACTTTTCAAATCAATCTTCTCTTTGGCCTTTTTAAGTTATATGAAATTTGAGTTTCCCTACGATGGGGATAACGTTTCATTACCAGCTGATTTCAAAAAAGGTTTTTACTTACATGGAACCATATTTTGATACCAAACGGTGTTTTATTTCCCCACAAGGGTTTTGCATATCGAGCGAATACCACACCGATACTGTTTAGCACGAGCCAGCCAATCATCATTAATGTTCCTGAAAATGAAAATAACTTATTTCTAATACCGTATCTTTATTATTTATAAAGGAAACAGAAGGGACAATGTAAACATCTGAAGTGGTTGATACTGATCAGTAAGTGATAATGAAACCAGACACAGTCAAATAAACGTTTCACGTCTTAAAATCAGTCCAGAATTTGTCATCTTCGTGATAAGGGCCTTTTCGATATCACCATTCTTTATCTGAATACAATACTCGACAAGTGTCATAAATAGAATAGAAAAACGATTTACCATGTGCTTTTACCAGTGGAAATTGTGGTTCCTCAATACCTAACAATCGAACAGACTGGAAATCAACCTTATTAACACTGACCATTGGTAATGTTGTCAATAAATGAGGTAAAATACGCCCTGAAAGAAAAATATGATACAATTTCTGATATATCACAGCATGGCCCATCTTCGGGCTCATATATGAGTTTGATTTTGGCGTTGACACATTCACTATAAACTAAGGTTCAAATCTATTGAATAATCCATATTCAAGACAACCGGTTAAACATCGGGGGAAATGTGTGCAAATACTAATATACAGAACCATTCTGCAATTTATTTGCCAACTTTAAATGATCACGGAGCTAATGGTGTTTTGAACTCAGTGATTTTATTGGATAACCCCGTGAACAACCATACTTACCATCGCGTGAATCACCTTCAGCAAACATAAGGTAATGATGTAATGTAAACTGTTTTCCAAAATCAACATGTACATCAACAGTGAAGGAACAATACAGGACACCATCTTTATAAGATCCTGTTGGGTGAATCAGAGCGTGTGTAAATTCCTGGAACGATTCAGAAAGAACTGCCATAATGATGTTATCACCTATGGTCATATGATACACTTTGATTATAGGTAGTTCCGTATTTTCGATTCGTAAAACAAATAAAATCAACATGTAATAAAAAAAATGAGCTGAAATTGCAAAATTGTAATAAAATGTCTCACAAAAAACGCAAATATCGTCTTTATTAAGTGATTATTAGAAGCTGGTTCCAAACTTACATCGACCCTTCTATTTTCTTTCCCTTCATTGAATGATACATGGACTTCCACTTGGCCTCCAGAAACAACACATTCAATAACTAAATCATCTCCCTGAAATACATGATAACAAACTATTTGCTCTATCACCACTGCAATTTGTTGACAGATGACGATGCATTTCCACTGGTTACTTGTTACTTGCCGTTAACATAATGGAGCAAACAGCTGTACAGACCACAGCATGGCCCATTTTCTAACCGACCATTACAGATCCATCTTGTTTATACAGTCATGTAGTACGTACCTAGTTAAGCAGTAAATTATAATAAAAAGCCTCGACCGGCATTGATCGTCTTGTAAGCATAAACAATAGATTAAAAATGAATTCCACCAACCATTTTAGTGTCATCAGAGAAGCCAACAGCAATCCATTTATCAGCCGAACCATCTGTATTAGCAGTCATTTCAAATGTTATATGAGGTGACTCCGACAGCCAGTTTATTGCAAACCTACATTTCCCATGGTGACAATCTTGAAAACAACCAACAGATATCCCACATTCCGTATTAGGCTTGATCACAGTAGCTCGTATCTAATGGTACAAATGGGAAAGTGAAACGTAAATACATAATGTAAAGCTAGATTTCACTGCAAAACATCGGTGCATTCGAAGTGTCAGCACCCCAAAATAAGGAGATACACCTGTATGTACCCTATACCATACACTGGCAAATTAGCAGATCTTTTACTTATACAAAGAGTATCCACGTCATCAATTAATTTTTTCTTGTATAGGGCCATACCAGTCTATTCATCTGACAATATTTTACTGTGATGTTTTCGAGGTAACAATAAATGCTTGTGGTGTGATTTTAAATTTTACCCATGTATGTAACTGTAATGTAATAGTTATGTTTATCTGAAGGACAAATTTCAAGCAATTTGGAATTCATATAATAGCTAAGAAGTTCTGGTTTGTTATGGCAATTTATACTTGAAAGTTTATACCTTCATTACAACCCTCTTGTTATATTGAAGTCGAGGGTTAAGGAAGCAAAATTAAGTTAGAGGCCTCTCACCAAACCTTTAAAATCAAGGTCTACTAAGAATTGCATAAAAACCAAATTCCAAAGTTTAAGCAGAACAATGGTTAGAAAAAATCTTATGCAAAAATACCAATTATTTTTTTATTTTCAAAATAAAAAATATACAAAACATCATCGTCCAAAAGAGGTTACAAGTTAGCATTAACATCAGATCTCAGCTGGATTCGAATGGTAGGAAAATTATACAGACTTTTCTGCTACCGAAGATGATGCTGGTCATGATGGAAAAATACAGATATACCTGACGAAAATGTATTGAAGATCAGAGTATGATAAGAAAATAATTTGAAATAGCTGTAATTCTTTGACAATGAATTGGTTTTGGTGATGTTAATGATTTATGCTAGAAACCAAAAATATTAGTTGATTCAAAATGATCATTTAACGTAAGTTTAGTAGGAAAATAGAAGTAAAACCAACATCCAAACAAAGACAAAAACCGAAATATTATGCAAAGATAGGTTTAAAAAATGCTGAAAAGCCAGTCCTCTATGGAATCCTTCGCCAATGTTGTAAAGAGTGTTCTATTGCTTGATACGCCTAGTTAATGTTTTCCACCACCTTGGAAAGTGCCATCTTAAATTCCTATTTACCGGGTGTAAGACGACGGGTGAAGCTTGTGTTGTAGCAACTGGAATATTATTTGTTGTTGATGGTAGAGCCGGAGCAGACTGATCAACTTTAATTGGTAACGATTCTATTCCCTGCCAATAAACCTGTACATTCTCTACTATTGTAACACTGAAAGGGAAAAATCAGTCCATATTTCCAAGCAGTAGCATTTCTAGGACATTCATTCACTACGTAAAATAGTTTAATAAAATTGAAAAGGGGCAAATCTCTCTTCTACGTAGAATCAATGGTCACTTTCCATTTAACATACATTATTACAATTACTGAAGATTAGGGAAGTAACTTACTTGAATGTTATATCATCGCCTTTTTGTAACGTAGCTGGAGCATTCCATGCCATGACTAGGTTAGGTACATTCAATCTTCGAGCGTGTGTTAATCCATTTTTAGCCTGACAATAAGGTAAGTGTAATAAGTTAATATTTTATCTGAGTTCATTTTAAAATATATAATGTATCAATTAAAATGTTCTTTGGAAATGTTTCATAGACTTGACGTGCCAAGGCAGCTGTTACAGATGCTATTGCTTGCTTATACTGCTGCGGCTGTTACATCTGTTGTTGCTGATGATGATGCGGGCAATAATGGATAGTGATGACAAGGACACTGGTGACGATACTGATGATAAGGGGGGGGGGGGGGGGAAGGGGGCACAGGGGACCTTGATTAGGATGTTGATCATGAATATGATTCAATATGATGGTTATTATTATTATACTTACTGGACATGTTGCTCTTGTCCCAGCAGACGCCACTGTAAACGAACCAAGATATCTCTGTTCTAGTCGACTTCTTGCTTGAACCAGTAGTCCCATGATCAACGACGAATCACTTGATGATATATTTACTGAAAGTAATGAAACGATGGCCATTTTTTTGGTTGTGTTTTTTTTACTCATGAATTTTTACGAATTTATAATTGATATCCTTCCTCATATGAATTGTTCGTTTACTGCTACAATGTCTTTGGATTTTGAGTTCCGTTTTGTGGTTCAGATCATTTATACTTGGGTTTTTTATTTTCTATTATATTAACCTTTCCACTAAAGCTCAGAAAATCATGCGTTGAAGTCCAATATGTAACACTCAACGGAAATTTTTGAAGATTTTTGATTTAATTAGGGATGTCATCAGATTAAGGTATGAGACAAAAAATTTAACAAATGGAGCTCTGTATAGACCAGACGGGTCATCAAGGTTTCTACTTACCTTTAACTTGTGATCCCGGAGCAAGTCTGTCACTATAAACTGTAATGGTGAATGGTGAGGGATCAAGAGACTGTGCTCCATGCCCAGGCTTCATAAAATCACATTGGTAATCTGGGGCACCTCGACTAAAGGCAATGACATAGGTCGGTATTAATGCTATGATGGTGAATAAGAGAGGAATTGCCATGACCTTTCCTTTACTCTGAAAAATATATGAGTTTTTTTTCTAATATTTATTGTTGAGACTGTTCCTTGCCAAGACGACGTTCTCACTCAAGCTTCGTCAACTTGAAATTCTATTCGGAATTAAATGAAATAGAGTTTTACATCATATTTTGTTGCTCCTGATTTGATAGGTTGAATGGCTAATGATAATTTTAGCTGTTCTTCATGATAATATATAACCGACATGGAGAAACTACTGTAAGGGAAATAACTCTTTTTCGCATTTTTTAAGTTCTCATTAATGAGCTTCATGTCTACAATATAATTAGGTGAGGGCAGCATTGTCCAGAGTTTGTCCAGAAGGATATTTACCAATTTTTAAGAGATATGAAAATGATGGATAAAAATAAGAATTAATAATGAATGAATATCTAAATATTTGTCATTTGTATCAATTAGACTGAAATATACTTAATTAATTAATTAATCAGCAAGTTGCCCTCAGGTAGTTTCAGTAATTAAATTTTATCTTTTTATAGTTAAACTTGATCTTAGCTTTTAAAGCCGACAAACTCGGAAGACTTTCTAAATTTTGGGCCCCGACACCATGGAAATACTCATATTGCCATACATATTACTAAAAATAATGCAATAAAAATCGCTGACATATAGACGCTTTCGGTTACGGAGTAGCGAAGTAGCATCCGTGTCAGTGGGTGTACAACCTAGAAAAAATGGCCTGTACCCCCCAAATTCTAACAAATTTAAATATTTGGTTTTTATTCATTTTTCCCCAAAAAAGTGTTTGCCGGAATTCACCAATTCAATTCATTTTTTCAAAAACTATCTCAGCGGAGAACCCTCTCAGGCGCTCCATTGGAAGATTTCGAGCATTCGCTTCATAAAGATGCAGCATTTTATATCCCCAATAAGTTAGTCTGCCCATATTGTACCCATAATACCACTTTCGTGTATAGGATTGGGTCCTAAAGAATATAGCGCACTATGATTATTATTTCATTATGACTCCCTCTATATAAAGAAATATACACCATTGTACGTTATACATATAAATGATATAACCATATTATTGGTCCTCGCTAGTTCTATTTTCAATCCCATGTGTTCGATCATACAGTATCTTGGAAGAAAATTTACGAAATGTAGTTCTTCATTAACGTACCTTAAATTGAGAAATCCTCATTCGAAAATAATCCGATGAACAATTTATAATTAAAAAAAAGACAACACCAAAAATAACCAGACTCAAGTCTAAATTTCATAAACAAAGTTATAAAAGAAAATAGCTGTCAGTATTTTCAGATATATGTATTAATATTAGTAGGTTGACTGTTTGACGTATATTAGAAATGGCTTCAGGCGATATAATTTGTGTGATTACTTTCATCTCAGGTGATGGTGATTTAACTTAACATTATCATTGATTCATTTAGAATTAATTATTTTTAATAATCTCTTTAAAAATATTCATTACAAGGAAAACAAAATTCTTGACTATGAAAAATATTAAAAAAGCGAAATTGGAGCAACTGATGGATATAAACATTCGCCATAACAGAAAACAGCTGTTTTATATTATTCCTTCATATTTCCAAACTCTGAGAAACAAATTGTCTAAAAATCAATCGAAAGAGCCTGATTAGAAAAGGACACAATTAATGGCCGAAGTATATATCTGCTTTATTTTACGAACTACTAGTTGCTTCGAAATTAGATCTAATTCGAAATGATGTATACCGTAAGTGGATTAAATTTGCTTATTTCTTGCTCTCGATGTTCAGCTGGTAGGTGTCGTGGTGATGTAAATGGAAATGTTTATACAGCATAACATCACTAGATGTAATTTGCTGTGAGATTTAATTGAATTCTAATATTACTTTCTAAAGATAAAGATGAAATGTGATATAACTGGCGTACACCTGGGATATAGGCTATGCATTGTAATCTATTGCCGATAACACTTGAGATTAGTGCATTGCAAGCTATTGCCGATAACACTGGAGATAAATGCATTGCAATCTATTGCCGATGCACTTGAGATAAATGTATTGAAAACTACTGCCGATAAACTTCATATAATTCATATCCGATAAAAAAAAAAGATTGCTCTTAAAGGAACTTCCTTAATGGTATTACACTTCTCATTTGCATATCAGCATTGCTTGAAAATTAATACGAGTTGTCGCCGAAAGAACTTACCCCAACAGCTGCAAATATCATGGCAGTTGTAACCTTTCAATAAACGAATCTCAACGATTAAGATTTATCGATATGAATTAGCCTAAATAAATGAACATAAGCTTCGTGTAGTCTAGTTCGAATCGCTAAAAAAGTGTCTCTTGTGAATATCAGCCAATTTGTTTGTTAGGACAAGGGCAATGATTCAAAAAAGCTTTCATCGAAAAATAGTGACACCTATCTGAACATTTACCAAAATACAAAAGCATAAAAAGAATCGTCAGAATCTAATCCAAACTGTGAACTCTCTATCGCTGAAAGGTCATTTTTGCGTGATTTAAGGGCAATAACTACAAAGCTCAGAAAATTGAAAGAACTAAACTCATTTGAAATCTCAACAATATTCACAATAATAGCAAGTTTCGTCAAAACAATCAAAAACGTTCAAAAGCTAACGTTAACGTTTTCAGGGTAATTCAAGGGCAATAACTCAAAACAAAGTTGTGGGAAATAAGAGAATAATTCATTGACGGTGTGCTACAGCAATTCACATTATAAAATTTGTGATGCATGTATATGAAATATATGAAATAGGAGGTGGTCAGGCGAATAATTAGACAAGTATGTCCCTTTAAGGTTATACGTTTCATGTGATTTAAGTCATTCACCCTGACCCATATATACTGACACAGTTACCTTATATACCTTGCGTGTAGGTCTTTATGTTGTTGTAAGTATATCTTCGGTTTTTGCTTTTGAAACTCAATTCTGGTGACCTAGTGATGCAACTGGATAATTCAGCACATTCAGTGTGCAGTTTGTAGTAAGATCAATATAATTCCTGAGATTGCAGTCCAGTTTATGTATTTTTATACTTTCAATCACCTTTTGTCATCCTTTCCTAAGTTGCTCGCAAGGGATTAACAGATGTTGTTTGATACCAGCTTCTTCACAGAAACATACCTTTAGTTGTTATTATGCATCTCATAGAATCAACAAAAGTGTATGCTTTTATAGAATACTGATGTTTTAATGCAAAACACGTAGACGTGGCCATTGTGGTATCCTCTCCCTAAAAGTTTCGAAATGGACTCAAATTTTGGCTAATTGTTAATATGTTGTTCCTTGCATCGTATATTGCACCAAAAGCAATTTCATATGACTTTTCTCTTGTCCTTTTGAATAGCGAATAAATGTATTTAAATCCCAGAATCACCTTTTACAGTGATGCAAGTCGACTTAGAGGCTGTGTACGTAAACGATCCCTATACTTTTGGAAATCGAAAAGTTTTCCACTTATTGCACCACATGATATAAGAAGGTAGAATGAATTGGTTGTTCGTTATATTTGGATTATTGGTTTTGTGGTTGATAGTATCTTGGTTCAGAAAGCCACAGGAAAGACCATTACCACCAGGACCTCCTCTTCTCGAATGTCTTCAAATCTTCAAAAGCTGTCTGAAAAAGTTTGAAATACATCTTATTTCTGAAAAACTGTGGAGACGTTATGGGGAACTTGTCCTGGTTAACTTTCTGGGGAAGGACATAATTTTTGTAAATAGTGTTCGCTTGGCTCGGAAATTATTTACTTCAGCACAATACAAGGATTATACCAACGATAGGCCGCCCTCTTTCATCCGAAACGCATTTTCCAAAGGGGGCAAGGATGTAGTCTTTGGTGATAATTGTGAACTACAAGCAAAATTGCGAAAAATGATTCATAATGTTGTAAGACTATATGGAACTGGTATAAAAGTGTTCGAAGAAATGATTAATTCGGAAGTTCGAATTTTAGAAGACCAGATAACTGCTGGAGTTGGGCAAAGGAAATATAATTTGGATAAAGCTCTTACTATCTCATTGATTAGAGTTATACATGTCTTTGTAGGTACCCTCCTTTTCATAATATCTTATTTAAGATTTCATTAAGCATTGAATGAAGCTATGCAACTCCACTTAATCCTGGCAGACCCGTAAAAAATGGATTGGCTCCCTGAAAAAAATCTGACAACCGACCAATTCCATTACAGAAACTAAACATACACTGTAAAATCACAATGAGATCTTTTGATCTTGGTACGGCCAACAATCGAGATTTCCCCGAGATCATTGATTCTACTATCAAGCTTAAAGAGTCCAAAGACTTTTTTGAAAATGAGCACTGTTATTTACGAGGTAGGGCATTCTCAACCTTCTGGAACACATGATGCTACTCTGCGACTAGGTTTATCAACCCACTATCCTTTCAGGGTCCATGTAGCCAATGTTGTTTATTGGTTGTTTTCATTTCAGTTAACCAACCAACATGTTGAAGATCAGGATAAATTATGTTCCGTGGTACAAAAATATGATCGTCTTTTAGATTTATTGTTGAGATTTGATAATAATCTAGCACTGATGTTTTTCCCATTTCTACAGTATATACCTAATTCTAGAAAAACATTGGTGGATGATTCCTTTGCTAGTTTAAAACAGTTATTAAATATGTACTTGAATGAGGAAAAATGCAAGGTAAGCTGATGGTAATACTTTCTGATACTATGATATTACCAATAAGTGATACCGAAAAAACAATGTACATTACAATAAGGTTATACCATCAAATATAATTTACACACGTTATCTTGTACTTATTGTGTCCACAGAATTAATAATACTGATCTGCTTTTCAAGGTGTCAAGTATTTGTTTTTAACTAAAAAAGCTTTCAAACCAACTCTTTCCTTGATTCAGTCAAGAGAGAAAAATGTGGATTACAAATCACATGGTAGTTTCCCTTACATTAAAACCTATCTATAAAAATTCTCTTAGTACAAACAATCCAAACCGCAAAACGAAACTCCAAATTTAAAATAACAGTTTGGCGATACTTTGATAGCAGCAGTTAAACAGTTCAGATGAAAAAGTCTATCAATAATAAATGAGTAAGTACACTGTAAAAAAAATTTCCTTCGATTAACAGAAAAAATTCCGGCAGCTGATTTACCAGTTATATAACAGAATTTCTTGTAAAATATCTGCTTTAAATAAAAGAAATATTTTTACGATAAAATCTGTTAAATTATAGAATGACTAATAATATTTCCTGTAATTAACAGAAAATAGGAAGAATATTCTGGTAAATCTGCTGCCGGAATTTTTCCTTCCAGTTCTGTAAAAAAACAGAATTTTAAAAAGGATATTCTGGTAATAAATCTGTTGCCAGAAATCAGATATATCAAGATAGGTATATAATAATGTTCGACATTATTGTTTTACAACATACCAATATTATGTAATGCAATCTTTACGTAATGTAGGAATTGAAGGGTAATGGAAGTCTGATTGGAACATTGATTGAAGAACAAGACAAAGATCCCCAACTTACCGATCAACATGTTCAAGGCGTGGTTCGCAATACGGTTGTAGCTGCATTCGTTACTACTAAAGCGACCCTGTGTGGATTTTTCTTAATGATGATGTATTACCCAGAAGTACAAAAGAAAATTCAACTAGAACTGGATGAAAAGATTGGAAGAGATAGACATCCTAGTTTAGATGATCGTCCAGAGTTACATTATACTAATGCTGTAATTCTAGAGGTCCTTCGATACATCCGACACACACCGCTAGCCATTCCTCATATGACAACTAAGGACTTGGAAGTAGAGGGATACAGAATCCCTTCTCACTCTACGGTGAGCAATAATCGTTGTTGGATAACTTACTAATTGAAAAGTCGTACAAGCAATAAGAAAGGTAGCTTGCAAGGCAACATACGCTCACTGCCATAATTAGATTAAATTATTATAATGTAGTTAATGACATCAAATTCAATATCCATCTGTTTTAGTTGTATGCATATCTGATCAAATATCATTAAAATCGAGCCAGTTATAGTATCTATCACAACAAACTAGTTTGGGCGAACTAAAAAGCGTTCAAATCGTACTAAAACTCATAAATATTAAATATGCACATTGATGCGTTTCGGATGGGAAGATTGCCAATATCCATAATTAAGTCATCGCGCCCACAAGCCAAGTGTGGAATTTTAGCTAAATTAAAAGTGTTCATAAAAATTCAACCAAAATCAAATATCTATTTGAGATATCAAAATACATAATGCATATCACATTCTTGAAGTCGATTCACTTTTGACTGTTTCATAATTATGACCTTTATTAGGCATCCTTGTAAATCCATTCATTTTAGGTCATCATGAATATATGGGTAATGAACCGAGATGAGTCAATTTGGACAGATCCCTACTCTTTTAAACCAGAAAGATTTTTAGATGAAGAGGGTAAATTTGTTCCCATTGATCATCGGCTTAGACAACAGTAAGTACTGTCAAAATCGGACAGGTAAAGAGCGGTTTTTATCGGTTCGTTGGATACATATATATAGTCTAATCAATCCGAGTTCCAGGCAGACTATGATGCTTCGTTCTGTGATTTATTTTAAAGGTTACTTCACTTTTCGGGTGATGAAATCCTTCGCATTTTGTCGAATTGTAGATCCATTATCATAATATATGTCCCAAAACTTTGGGTTGACAGAGTTTTATTGAGCATAATTGAGCAATGCATTTGCTTATAAAGTATGGGAACTATCTCAACTTGCTCTATAGAACTTGAAGTATTTTGAACTCAAAGCCCAAAGCTTTGTCTTCAGATCATGGGTCCCAGGCGCAGTGAGCCACAGATACGACACGAAGGAACTTTCAGATCTGCAATTGAATCAGATTGACAATAATATATATTGCTATTGCTAAACTAAGATAATAGTTGAATCCGCAATATTTCTCTAGCATTCTAGTCCCTCGTATTATGTGTAACTTATTAAAATTGTATCAAGACATTATTTTATTGCAGGTTTATGGTCTTCGGCATTGGAAGACGAAATTGTGTGGGTGAATCTTTTGCTAAGTCACGTGTGTTTTTATATGTGACGTCATTGCTGCAGAAATTTAATTTCAAACCTGGTGATAATGAACTATCCCCTGAAAATTCTGAATTATGGCTGAAAAAATCTGCCCTCTGTCCTGAATTCTTAGATTGTGTTGTTGAGAATCGCAAATGAATGAGAATCTGACTGACTGGAGAAAGAAGTTCCTTGTTATTTGCCTGGTCGATGATTTATTCACTTTATGAAATAAAAATAATAAATTATTTCAATCTGGTTTTCTAATGTCAGTGATACAGGTTTGAGTTGTTCGAAACGAACAATACATATTTAAGCACATGTGTGACAAAATTTGTGTAGCTGCTAAAGATAAAAGTTAACAGAATGAACATAATTGTTCTGCAGCTTTGAAATATTGGTAATTCGTTTAAAAGTCTCGTGAATGACTGATTTGACATAGTACTATTAAACAAAAAAGAGTTAAGTCCCCATCCAATGTAGTCATTATCGGGAACAAAATCCCATCTGAAAAGTTGATTTAAGATGGAAGTAAGCGTTGGAATGGTCTGAATTGTTTAGTGAATATTATGGACACATTAGTAGGCCTTAGTACTTTTCTGTCAAGTTTTCCAAAAGGGGTTGGGAAGAAAGTGCAACAATGCTCAGTTATTCTACTGAGGCCGCCATTTTCAATTACTATCCTTTACTCCAAAAGTCAAAAGATCGCTGATTGGATAGTCTGTGTGGAATGCTGGTTGTAGGGACTGTTATAGCAGATAGTCTGTGTGGAATGCTGGTTGTATTGACTGTTATAGCAGATAGTCTGTGTGAAATGCTGGTTGTATTGACTGTTATAGCAGATAGTCTGTGTGGAATGCTGGTTGTATTGACTGTTATAGCAGATAGTCTGTGTGAAATGCTGGTTGTATTGACTGTTATAGCAGATAGTCTGTGTGGAATGCTGGTTGTATTGACTGTTATAGCAGATAGTCTGTGTGAAATGCTGGTTGTATTGGTTGTATTGACTGTTATAGCAGATAGTCTGTGTGGAATGCTGGTTGTAGGGACTGTTATAGCAGATAGTCTGTGTGAAATGCTGGTTGTATTGGTTGTATTGACTGTTATAGCAGATAGTCTCTGTGGAATGCTGGTTGTAGGGACTGTTATAGCAGAAAGTCTGTGAACATTCACCTCATCTCACCCTACGTTGCATTGCCCATATAAACAGGCCTTCTCAGAGACAGAAAATTAGAAATCTTATCCTTTTTGTAATTATTGACTCCTTAAAAGCACAAAATACGAGAAAATAATCTATAGTTACCTCCCTTGAACTTTTATATTAGACTGTGTAGTACAAACGTATACTTATTAGCACTTTTAAGGTGGTAATTCTTGATATGATGTATCGTTCGTGGATTCACAACACTATTTACATGTGCACCAACGACATTTTGAAGACTAATGGAAGACTGTTAGGTAGGTCTACCTGAACGGTGGCATTGTTTCGCAACTTCCTATGAAGAACATGTCGAATGGTATGATAAGTTTTTCATGGATTCAGGGAATGTGGCCTACAGTTAACTCTTTAGTCTTATTTCTCGTTCAGGGACGCCAAGTATTTAGGACACATTGTATCATATCAGCTGATAAAAGTTAAGACAGATAATAGTAAATTGTATAAGATCAAAAAATGGAAGACCCCGAAAATAAGAATGAATTTAGAAGATTCCTTGTCAATTTTTTTGTCATTTCAGAAGGCTTATTCAAAATGTTTCAAATCTAGCCAGGTCACTAAAGGGTCTATCACAAGAATGGGGTGAATGTAATGACAGAAAACAAACCGGCGTTGTATATGATGAAGTATTTTTAACTATAAGATTGGCATGTATAGAGTTAAGTTCAGAGTAAGTTATATAATTAGTTTTCAAGTGGAAATTAAAACCATATTATATAATATTTCTACTGGTATTTATTTTCTTTTCTCCACAACACAGTTTAAGAATTGTGGACACAGTACTGCTTTTGTCATCCACCTCGCAGAATCTTCTGGAGGCAGTACGTTATCACCGGGACTAAACGTGAATTTCTGTAATAATGACGTCACATACAAAAATATGCGTGTTCTAGCAAAAGATTCTCCAACACAACTTCTTATTCCAATGCCAAAAGTGATCAACCTGAAAGATATGAAATATAAGCATGTTTGTCATAGGAACAAATGATACCGCAATGACGAATTTCAAATTTGGAACAGCTCCTGTTTGTTCGAATCGTTAGTACTTGGTTTATTTATTCAACAGTACAATATTAACTATGTAGACTCTACCAAAGGGGGTGATAAAGCCAATTCAAGATTTACATCTGATAAAAATCTTATCCAAGAACACGTATTTCATCCATTTTAAATGAAAACCTTCAGTGTACTTTACAATGCGCCAGATGTACAGAAATTCAAAACACTGAACTTACTGTTGTCTAAGACGATGATCAACGGATACCAGCTTACCATCTTCGTCTAAAAATCGTTCTGGTTTGAAAGAGTATGGATCATCCCATACAGAGTCATCTCTAGCCATTACCCAATGGTTTAGAATTATCTGTAATGAACAAAAAAAGAATACTTAACTCAAGTTTTCAAAATGTTTGTTCAACGATGAAGATGAAAAAGGGATTGGGTGATATAGTGAAATCAATAACACTATTATGTTTGCGTTGCTAATTTCGATATAGATTTAAATGTTTTGCGAATAGTATTTCGGGGAAGGGAGAGTTTAATTCTCCCAAATGGCCTAGGATGCAACAAACATCTTCATAACGGCATATTTAGGCCTAGAGCCATCTTCAGAGAAGGTTCCACAGAATTGTTTCAACAGAAAGAAATCTTACCATGGAATGAGCGGGTATTGTGTATTCTTCAAATTCGAGGTCCTTTGATGCCAAATGAGGTACTCCTATAACCGTGTGTCGGATATATCGAAATACTTCCAAAATTACAGCATTAGTATAATGTAACTCCGGACGATCATCTAAACTAGGATGTCTATCTCTTTCAATCTTTTCATCCAGCTCCTGTTGAATCTTTCTTTGTACTTCTGGGTAATACATCATAAGCAAGAAAAAACCATTTAAAGTACCCTTAGTTGTGATAAAACCGGCGACGAGAACGTCGGTAACAACACCTTCAGCGTGATCATTGGTGATTTCGGGATCTTTTTCCATTTCCTCGAGTAATGTTGCTATTAGGCTACCATTTCCCTTCACACTCTACAACAATATATAATATACAAACATGTAAGTTACAACGGATTTGTACCCGATTTCATGCTCTATGGAAAGATTGGAATATAAAATACCTGTATATTCAAAGCAAGTGTATCTACTTAAAACTAGATAACAGTCCAGATGAAATATATCAGAAAGAAAAGAAGAATTAGAATTGCAATCCAATTTAAAGGAACGGATTCGCCATCCGTTTGACCAAGCGTCTAGGCTAATCAGTTATGGTGTTCACAGCTCACTGTCGAAATTTGAGCCTCCAAATCCATGGGTGTCCAGAATTATCAAAGATTAAAAGTTAAAATGACAACTCGTCTTTTCTTGAGACTTTGTCATATAAAGAAAAGACATGATATAGAAATAGAAAATGAAAGTCCTAGATCGAGGTATGTTTGAAGAAATTATGCGGTTTTTGTACATTTCTAATGCTTTTTGAAGTCTATTTACATATGTTCATGACCCTAGTCGACCACGGAAAATGACCCATCAGATTGAAGTAAAACAGGCCTGATATAGAAACATAAGATTCTATCCACCAACTTAGCTGTATTGATTATAACAAGGGTAGAAAATAATGTATCTGGACCATCTGGCTTATCATTTCAACACCGATCATTATAGCTCCATAATTACCTTACACATCTCTGGTCCTAAATAAAAATCTTGGACTTGCTTATGGCTGGCCATAGAATCATCCACGAGTTTTTTCGTTGATCCGGGAATATATTTTAAAAACGGCAAGATCGTTAAGGTTATCTCGTTGTCAAATCTAAACAACAAATCCACAAATCTATCATACTCTTCGACCATGGTACACAGTTCTTCAGAGTTTGATGGTCTCTGATTCGTCAACTGAAAAATAAAGAAAATATTCAAATGATTTTTTTTTTGTCTACATGAAAGCATGGAAGTATTTTACTTATATTTTAATATCATGGATTAACCAGTTATCTATTTCAATGAAAGACTGCTTCATTGTCTCTGTGCTTTTATTATGCGGAAATTTGTTATTTGTCGTGGAGCTGAATTCAGCGGCAGTTTAACAAAATAAGAATGCATCTACGTACAAACATATGGATTATGTGGATTAATGAGTTGGTGAGAGCTCTATCTAAATCAAACACAGGGCGACCTGCACCAGCTTGTAGTTGATCTTCTAAGATTCGAACTTGTGTGTTAACCATATCTTCGAAGTCTTTAATACCAGTACCATATATTTTAGATACAGTGTGGATTAATTTTCGAAGCTTCATATGCATTTCTGTGACTGGACTAAACGCAATATCCTTGCCGTTTTTAACAATGAATTTCTGAATAAACGATGGAGGTCGTTCATTTGTAAAGTCTTTGTATTTTGCAGACGTTATCAATTTACGCGAGAGTCGAACACTGTTCACAAATACTATATTTGAACCTAAAAAATTAATCCTCACAAGATCTCCATAACGTTTCCACAGTTTTACAGAAATTAAATGTATTTCAAAGTTTTTCAGACAACGCAGAGAGATTTGAAGACATTCGAGTACAGAAGGTCCTGGTGGTAATGGTGGTCTCTGTTTATTTTTAAACCATGATAGAAGCATATATACCCCTAGTGCAGCTACTAGAATCAATATCCAACTCATTGTGTACGATTTTCCCCTGAAACGACTTGAAACATGTTTAAAACACTTTAGTTCCCTGATTCCCAAACTCTCTGACTTTTCGTATTCCTTCTTCGACCATAAGCATGGACAAAATGGGATGACTCAATGTTCGATCAGAATTCCAGATTTAATTGTTTTTTCGACAAGGCGTGGGGTTCTCCTTAGTTCACTAGTGCCCCAGGTTCAGAACCATGCAAATTTAAATGTTTCATTTCGTATTTGTCTTTGATATACAGTTGTACTTTTATTTTAACCAGTGCAAGCGAATGTTGACCCAATATTTCGTTAGTTGTAATGATATACTATATTATTAACAACGTAAAACATGGTTGAATACAAGACAAGATTTTGGGTATATAGTAATGCATATCTTATCAGGGATAACGAATGAAAAAAAATGTTTTAAAACAGAACGTTTTGCTCGTTGCACACTATATGTAATTGTAATATTGCACTGTTTGCAGAGTTATTGAATATTCCGAGATTTAAAGCAACTTACCTTAGAGCATAGGCTACTGATCGGTGTTCACGTAATGTTTGTCCCTTAAGTGGTGGACGTGCACTAATAAATTTGGTATGCCTGAATAGTTCAAGGCAATGGTATATAGGTCCCGCCCCTGAACCTCGGTTATGAAAGAATGGCAAAGTCCTTGTTGCACTAACAACATTATCAAGCGGTCCAATATACTTGATCCAGTAAAAATATATGATAGTAAAACACTTACTGACGTATCTGTTATGAAACAAATTCTGCTGAATTCTTAACCAGCCATCAAGAACATACACAAATCCATTGTGAGTAATGTTTATAGCAAGGTTTTCATTCGTTAAAAGATTAAAACAGGGCCACCTTCGCGTTTGGTGTAAAAAATCTCTTATCTCATGAAAACTGTTATATGAATATTACTTAAATGGCTACTCGAACTCTTGCACCTCTTTCAGATAATGTGCCTTTAAAACCTGCACAAAAAGTGCATTATCTTATCTATCTCTATATTATATACATGTATATACATGTTTTATAGCTAGTTCACTTTGACATTGTCACATACCGAGTTTGATAGAAAAACTGTTTTTAGCGCAGTTCACAATGCTAGGCTACTATAATCTCGCACCGACATTTTTTACGTTAAATTCTTCAAAAACTGATTCTGAAGCAGAAGAGTGTTTTCAAGACTTTCAGTTTGAAGACGTCTAGCTGTTTTATATTACAAATGTTAAGGGACAGATTCGACATTTGTTACCAATCGTACCGTAGTCTCAGAAACGGTGATTTTTTTTTATCTAATCAGTAATACTGTTCATAGCTCAACAATAGAAATTAGAAATTTGATACTTCAAATCGATGTGTGCCCAGAATTATCTGAAAGTTAAAAAGATGACTCGTCTTTTCTTGAGACTCTGTCATATATAGAAATAATAAAGTTTTGGTTGGACTTTCGTATTTTTCGTATGTAATGAGATCTTGACACTGTGAACTTGTTTTTGACACCCCCAAAAAGTTTATTTCTTATTAACTACATTAGAATATTTCACTCCGATTTGATTGTAGACATAGATCGTGGATGACCTCTCATAACATGACAAAAAAATTAATTTATTTGAGAACGAAAATCGTCTATACAGTTCATTAAGACTCAGGGACAGAATTTATTAGCTTACCACTCAAAATATAGAGTACATGTACATGTATTTGTGTTTGTGTTTTGGATCGTATCAGACACAATGGATGTTGAAAGATACGTGTGGTTAGTTTTCATTCAATATCTTGTTATATAATACATTTTCTCGTGTAGCATTTCTCAGCTTGTTTTATTATAAAAAAAAGAATTCCGGGAACAAAATGTGTAGCGTCTTACAAATGTTCATTCCACTTGTGGTAGGCCTACAATAACTTCAATAAAAATTTTTGTACCGCAACTTTCTTGTGTTTTTTTTTTTTCATATTCCTGAATAGTTTTTTTAAGTCTTGAAATACCAAACGACCTACCGTGAAAGTTGCGCAGCGCTCTGCAACATAATAGGTCTGGTACAGAAATTGTCGGAGATTGCCGATTGCATTAAGTCATACTATTGACCTTTCCATAGATTTCCGTGTACATTCAAAACGATCCTATAATTGTTATATAGTATAAGTAGTAAAGAGTGAGAGCTGCACAAGATTAGACAAATCGTTCTAAATAAAGATCATAAAGTACTATACATATTTGTACAGCACAAATCTTACCAAGCTCGATGCATAATAAATTGTGCTTAAAATGTGGGACTTTCTTATCATAAGGCCTCTGAATTCTACATATGTTTATTCCTAACCATTTACTCGGCGAAGCATGCATAACCTCTTTAAACATGTTTATTAGAGTTCAATGGTCATGTCAAAAACGAGATCTACAATTATATTTGTCTATACAGCTGTGTTATTTGGGCTAAACACAGTGAATACATACAACTTTATATACGGCCACAGATACAAGTAAGTAGTAGTCTATCTTTTATTTACATTATCAAATTTCTTAAATAAGCTATTCGACATTCAGGTGTATTAAAATTTGATACGTGAGACTGTTCACTGCGACCTGGAGTATAGGGATTATATAAGACAAGACAATAATGTGGGTAGATTTCGTCATTTAACTGACGGTAATAAATGTTAATAAATGCAATGGGGTGTCTCGGCCAAAAGTGACGTGGATATTCGGCTGCATATCTACTTGGTACAAATCCACACTACCCCTGCAACCAAGCCCGTAGCTGCTTGGGGGCAAGGGTGTGGGCTAGCCCCTCGCCCACTTACAAAAAATGGGTTGCCGCCCTGAAAAAATCTGACAACCGACCAATTCCATTATTGCAACTAAACAGCACACTCCATTGCCCCTCCGAAATCCGGTTATATTACTTTCTTTAAAACAAGAGACACATTGACCCGTATAATTTATACTGTATAGATAAGCTTGATAAGTTGATTTATTCTCTGTCGTCTTATGAAAGAAATTGTTGTGTAAAGTATAATTGAATAAAATATTCCTTTTAAAGGACCATTTTGACACAGAATCAAATTGCCAGGCTTGGGTAGAGGCACCACAACATGCGATCTTCGACTGATTGTTGCTCTTTTTCATTGTCAAAATTTCATTGCATATTTTCGAAAACTCACATATTTCGAACCAGGCCACTCGGTGTATTTGGGAATACGCTTGTGAAACCAAAATATTCCCTCTGGCTTAAAAAATTAATACTAGTAATTTGTATTGGCATAAATCGTCGTTGAATATGGAAAAGGATTGGATTTTATAATGCAACAGTGGTGTCGCTAGTACACCTTCCGGAACACCCATTACCTATCTTCAACTGTATCTAACAATTCAGCTCCCTCACAGACAATTTACATAGAAAATAATGTGTGTTTTATTACATGTATGAATAAAAGTCCAAAATACCAATATAAAAGAACAAATATACACCTGATATATTATGTGTTACGTTATTTCCACTGAAATCTACTCAATGTTCATTCTTTCTACTCAATGTTCATTCTGTTTTTTAGGTACTCGAATCACCATATTTTATTAAATACGCATGGACAAAAATGAGTTTGTTATTAGTCGCGGCTGTTGTCTTGATATGTACCTATATATTTGTTCGCTGGTTCAATGAGAAGTACAGTCCTTCGCTTCCTCTTCCACCAGGACCTTCTCGCTGGCAAAGTTTGAAATTATTTATGAATCTGCTGCGAAATAAAGATGCTCAAATTAACCTAATGGCTGAGGATTTATACAGACAATATGGAGAGATCGTGGCTTTAAGAATACCAGGTTCTAGCATGATTTTCTTAAACAGTACCCAAATTATACGTAAGCTATTTACATCAACTAAGTATCGTGACGTCACTTCCGACAGACCACAGTCATTTTTCAGGAATCATCTTATGAACAAAGATATCGTTTTAAGAGATTATGACGAAGTACAGGTTCATCTCAGAAAAATTGTACATAATACAATAAAGCTTTATGGAGATGGAATCCAGGTATTTGAGGAGATGGTCGGTTCTGAAATTCGGCTGTTAGAAAAATCTATGACAGCTGATGGTGATGACACCACAGTTAAATCTTTTGATATTGATGCAGCATTAACAACATCATTGATACGGATTATATACATATTTGTAAGTATAAAGTGATATACCCATGCTAATATAATATGCCGGTGAGATGCCCCTTGAATCACGCTCGAAGTTCACGTTGTTAAGGTTAGTCAGAGATGGAACATGAGTACAGGAAGTTCAGACATTTCTGTTCGACTAGCACCTCGGTTTCATTCTGGAAACTCTTCTTACTTAATGCCGCAGTAATTTGATCGGCATGTACATCTTTTTTTGTACGTCATTGGTCAAAACATTTATCAATTCTCCTATCCCAGAGTCGACACAAAAATGCGTCCATAAACGATCAATTTGTGAATGAATTGAAATCAGTTAATTGACGAACAAATTGATCGTGTATGGGACCCTTAAGAATCAAACGGGTGAAGAGGTTCGAGGAGTCAACGTAAACATATGTATAAGTTGTATTCGTGTTCGAAAAGTTTATGAACCAAGGATCTTTCATGATTTTCCTTTACTTTTTTCAGTTAACCAATGAAACCCCAGAAGATACAGAAAAGGTCGCTGAAGCGGTAGACAGATTTGATAAAGCTTTGATTAAAATGTTTCGATTAGAAGTTAATCTAATGTTTACATTATTTCCATGGTTACGCTTTATACCAGGTCCGACGAAAAAATTATATGATCATTATAATTCTTGTGCAGATGCAATGAAAAGTGTTTTCTTAAATCCAGAATTGGTAAAGGTAATGAAATATAATTGATTAAAATGCAACCATGATCGTTTCGTTGCGGCAAAGAAATGGTTTTTTATCGATTAATTTCAAGCTGGACGTCATTTCTGAATTCAAATATATTATTTACCTTAATTGTAGGTGCAACAGCTGTGCTTACTAAGTGTTTTAACATTTGCGGTAGATGTGGGACTTATACATCCAGTCGTTTTTTTTTATAAACAATATTTTATTAATACATTAAATGGATTGGGGAACAGGCTTATGCCTAAATAACCCCTCTCCATAATCCATTCGTTCACTAAAGAATGTTTTTGGAAATGCTCACTTTGAACAAAATGTGAATTGACGTATGTAGACAAAAAAAGCTTTTGTGAAAAATAAAACCAATAGATATTATTTCACTTTACAGAGACTAGAAGAAAACAGAAAAGGATTACTAGGAGTTCTGATAGGGGATCCAGAAACATCAGAAGATACAATTCAAGGAATATTGATGAATATCATTTCAGCTGGATTTGTGACAACGAAAGGAACATTGAGTGGATTTTTCCTTCTAATGTTATACCACCCAGATGTTCAGAAGCGTATCCAAGATGAAATCGACGATAAAATAGGTCACCGAGAACCTTCAATTGAAGATAGGTCAAAAATGCATTACACCTATGCAGCCATCTTAGAAACTTTGCGGTTTATTCGCCATGTTCCATATGGTGTACCTCATTGTAATAGAATGGATGTAGATATTGATGGTTATAAAATCCCAGCTAATTCAACGGTAAGCATGAACCATGACTTAGATAAATCTTAATCTTCCCCTCGCCCGCTCTCTCCACCTATCTTTTCTCTTATCTTTCACCCAAGCTCTCGTCCTCCTCATATCTTTTCTCCTATCGTTCAGTCTCGCTCTCTCTCACTTGTTTGTTTTATTTGTATCCTGTATATGGAGATGGCTTTAATCTAATACTCTTTTCAGATGTTCACAAATTTGTGGTCGATTGCTTTCTCTGATAATTACTGGAAGAATCCTACAAAGTTTACTCCAGAAAGATATCTGGATGAAAATGGTGAAATATTACCACTTGACCATCCAAAAAGACAGCAGTAAGTTCTTTGAAACACGGAGACGTTTTTATGTCAAATATGCTAAAAAAATGTATTGTGGTGGGTTTTCACTAAACTTGCTTAAAATGGTTTTCTATATGATGTGTTTTAGGCTTGGTGTTAACTGTTGAAACCAATTGGGTCGAAATTAATCCAGTTAAAATCAGGTTTTTTTTTCCAACAAAACTAGCTTTAAAAAATATCCTACGAGGTACCCTCTGTGTTTGTTATCCAAAAAACGGTCCTCGTGCTCCCGGTTGAACTTTAATGAGAATAAAGCCAAAAAAAAAAAAAATAAAAGAAAAACCGTTTCCTTCCTTTCATATATTGTCATTTAACCTTTGGTTTTCAGGTTTATTCCGTTTGGAGTTGGTAGAAGGGGTTGTGTAGGTGAATCATTTTCTAAATCACGCGTCTTTCTATACGTTACATCTTTGCTCCAAAAGTTTACTTTCACGAAAGGTGACGATCCATTGCCTTCTATTTACTCAGAAACTTGGGGCAATGATGTAGCGCTAATTCCGGGGCCATTTAAATGTACTGTTACAAAAAGACGTTAGGTCTAAAACCAATCAAATTCTTAACACAAGAAATTAGATGCACTCATTCTTTACAAATATCCATCTGCCTTGACTACCAGACCATGGGCGTTTTTCAATGTTTTCCGCAATCCAAAATCGATGCTGTCTACATTATACTGCTTCCAAAAAAAAAAAGTATGCATATTTAAAAAGTCTGTTTTTTATTTTGGGGAGGGGGAGCGGGGATGGGCCCTGGGATGGGTTATTTGACCTGGTAGGTCCTTTGAAGTGGCAGTATGTTGCTAAACAGAAAGCATAATCGTCACAAATTCTGTCTTAATGAAGCTAATCTTATATGGTAAGCCACCATAACTGCACTGGTGACCTATCCATAGTAGGCTACTTTAAAATATATAATATTCTATTATTTAATTCGACAAAAAAGCATCAAATAATAACAAATTAGTTAAATTTCATTTCCACTACAGCTATAGATAATCTATAAACCTTTACATCATAAAACTGCATCATTAAATAATTCTTCAATTGTGTGTGTAACATAAGCATTGGTCTAGGTTATGTGATCAGTCTACCGCTGTGGTCAGTTTAAAATGTTTCCCTAAGAATAGGCCAAATTACACTGCACATGAAAATGTAACTTAGACCGAAAGGTCTGCCTCTATTATAGCCTCTGATAGCTCTTTTGACACTGTCGACTGGTATATAGACAGAAAAACTAATAAATTGTTGCATCGTTTCTGCCATTTAATATGTAGTTTGCGCATTCTGTATGAAATTAGTTAAATTTGGAACAAATTTCAGCTATGTAACATCGTCTGCAACAAACACTTATACTGACTACACCATATTTGTATTACTTAAAAAAAAGACAACAGGTTCAAGTTAATGTCCTTTCCATATCCTGCATGAAATTAAACAACGGAGAACCATTGACGCTATGAGATGTATCGTACACCTCTCCTAACTTCTGAAATCCCACACGCTCAAAGAACTCAATAGATTTACGAGCACTCTGCAGACGAACAGGTCGCGTTATATTATGTTGTAGTATCATACTGATTGCACGTTCAACCATTCTCCGTCCATATCCTTCACCCTGATGGTCTCTTTTCACAAACAGATATGAAATATGATGGTAATATTCACACGAAAATATGGACGTTGGCTCTTCAAGTCTATTATCAGACAATCTAAATGACACCACTGATACCAATGTGTTAGGGAAGGGATGATTAACGTAACCAAACAAAATCTTGCTGCGCTCTGGGATGTCACAACTCGTGCCGGTTACATCTCGCGATACAGTTCTAAACATACGATTAAACTTAGCATTATTGACATGCTGTTTCACTTCAAATTTTACTGGTTGCTTCTGATAAGCCATATTATGACAATTACCTGAAATGTTAAACATTTTTGGGTGGAATAAAAGCATGTTGACTGACACGACAAAGATTCGATTCAGTGCGTCATTGGTTTATGAAACAATTATGCCAAAAAATTTGAAGCGTTTTATTTCTAGATTCAACATAAATCATATACAATGTATTGCAAAATATATAATTCCCTAATCAAATCAATCTATGCAATCATACGGTGACTATGTATACCCTACCATATTTATTAAGTGACAAGTTACGTCCCTTGAACTTGAATTGTGTTCAAAATTTTTCTTTCACACGTTACGTTTAGAAAAAAACTTTATCCAGTGGATCAACTACCAAAAGCTGAGCCACAGATATATTATTTTGTCTTCTGCTCAATATGACTAACGACACATACATTACATAGCTGAATTGAGCTCAGGAGCGCCCAACTTCCTTGGCTCCAATTAATTCTATGTTAAATTAAGTATTAGTTTCTTCATAAACAAGCGACATACGATCTCGATTTTTCATTTTCAGCTATAGGCGTTCCACTGATGCAATTAATAATGTTATTTAAAGTTGTGAACTTTGGGCAACCATCGTGAATTACCAATTAAAAAGATGAATATACTTTGAACTTAAGAACATTAATATGAGGTGCATTTCCATGAGCAAATCTCAATAACGTTGCTTTGTATTTCCGCACGATTACATTTATGCTGAATACCATTAATTATTAAAACGACAACATAGCCAAGGTAAATTATGACAACCTTCTTTTTTTAAAAGAAAGTCCATCCTCAACATCGGTTTTGCTGTCTCCATGTATATTACTTACTGGAAATGTTGCTCTACTGTTTTATGATTATCACAAGGTGGTGGATTAATAATATAAGTAGATTATTCGTTAATTATATTAATCATTTGATTCAACAAACAGCAATCAACTGAAATGACCTAATGACAAGTCATTCAAAACTCTTTTGTTTTTATTATACACAAACCACGTGGTTATGTTTACATTCCGGAGTTGCGCGCGAAACACTGGTTTACTTCCGGGGTCAAATCTATAGCAACGGTGTAAACTAAAGGTCAAACTGTGACGTACAGCCAAGTTCGGCTTCTCTGTTTACATCTGCAAATTACTGCACAGATTTTTTCATATTGAATATTTTGAAATCCTTCCTTGTCAAAATGGTACATGATAATGTATTCAAACTTCAGCTATATTTTTTATTGTGATATTTGTACCAGGAACGAAGTAATCAGTGAAAGTGTGAGAAACTATTTTGTTATTGGTAGTAAACAGGCGTAAGGATCCATGACAGTTCTAACGGCCTCGGTCGTTACTTAAAAAAAGAAACCATGAGTTCTGAAATAGAACCACATATTACGAAAAAATATGAAATCAAGAAAAGACTTGGGAAAGGGGTGAGTATATTTTACACGAAATTGAATATTTTAGGATCGTAATTACTCTCTCAATTATCCTTTTATTCGGAACAAAAAGATAATTTCAAACAAAATTCCTAAACATTGTACAATGAAATATGTCAAAATACAAAACGATGTGTTTGTGCATGATCGTTCAGGTAAGTTGACTCAGTAGGCTAAATTCATTAGATAATGTCTGTAGACAACATGTATACATGCAAAGTAACATAGTCATAGTCATAATAAATGTTTGAATCTATTAGACTATTTGTGTACACATAACTCGTAAGTTAAACCCTCACGAGAAGCAGAAGTAAAATCGAGAAATTTGTGTTTATGTTAGGGCTGCCTAATGCAATGGGAGTGTGGGGATACGTAAATATATCCAAAGGGAACATTATTATTAAGGTTATTATGTCATATTATGTTTGTATAAAACATATAAATTTTGTCTGAAAATGAAAATGGAATACATTATCTGTTCTACTTCTATGTTTTAATGTTATGTTTTGAGACAAAATTTGTCTCATAATATTACTTGAATATGATGATAATCCTTTTGCTATGGCTAAATCTTTTAAAATTTCAGTTAGTTGCCCATAGGGCAGTGTTCAAGAAAACTCCCATATCATGCAAACTCCAGTAATATTTGCTTACTTCTCATTCGTGCACCAGATGATTATGATATATTCAGTCCAGTCACAAATTCTAGAATTGTGAATTCCCATTAAATTACTCTCTGAAAAGTCAACCTACAAAGTTCAATGCCGAACAAAGTCTAAGCCCATTCCAGACTCTCTACTGCTTGACTAACATACACCAATTCTTTAGGAGTGGTTTCAAATTATTCAAATTGAGACTTCAGCATTTTCATACCCAGGTAAAATTTGATAATTTTTATTTTTAGGCATATGGGATTGTATGGAAGGCCATTGACAGACGGACCGGTGAAGTAGTGGCCGTCAAGAAAATTTTTGATGCCTTTCGAAATCAAACAGATGCACAGGTAAATTCATCTTACTTAGTTATCCTTGATAGTATTAGTATCAATTATTAATGAACCATGGGCTGTTTTCTATATTTGATTTAATTAACATGAGTCTGGTACTGTAATTAAACCATGAATAAAGCACACTAGAAAGTGAACATATGTTTGATATGGGACAAGATTTGTCTCAATTAGCCAATAATATCTGACTGAGCACTGAAGATATTGTCCATCCCAATTTGCTACATGACTTAGCTTTTCAAAGTGATGATTTGTAAACATGTGGTCGAATCTTCTCTAGAGCCATTTTGTGCTTCTAGCGCCATGCTACTGATTAGTTTGAATTGATGATATACACTCAGACCCCTTTTTTTGGATTTGGTTATGATAAATTTGAATACCACCATTATAAGTACTGGTAGTGTGGTTGATGTTGCAAGGCATATTTGTTATATATTTTTTATAAAAAAAAATTATATTTTAATGAATTTATTTCCAGCGTACTTTTCGAGAGATTATGTTCCTACAAGAGTTCGGGGATCATATTAATATCGTCAAGTTACACAATGTTATTAAAGCTGAAAATGATAAAGATATTTATTTAGTGTTTGAATTCATGGGTAAGTCATATAACAGATGTTTTGTTATTTTGGCAAAAATCCATAATTGAGTTGGCGATTGCCATTTTGAATAAGCATTCAAAATTAAATTGACTAACCTACCTTTATGTTATTCAACATATTCATCACAGATGCTGAAATAGTAGTACTGTTCATAACAGTGATGTCCCTGGAAATTGGTATACATGTTGTTTGCCTGGTGAAGAATTCCTCGGAACACTCCCAAATTTTCTGGACTAATTGTTTGCATACCAAAATATCAATGAAATTGTTTGTTAGTCTCCGTTGAATTTATCGGCTGCAATACCAGTAATGATTGTGTCTCAGTTGAGGGTTTGTGTGTCCGGTGCAGTGTATTTTGGGAAAGATTATCGAAACAGTAGGACAAAAAAAGAAATCCAGTCTGCAGATTGGCAGTTTGCTTCTTATTGTATTTTTTTACTTTACAGATAAGGTGTATTTCCGAATATAATGCGCACCCCTTCCTTACCCAATCAAAATCTGGAAAAATCCATTTACCCGTATATAATGCACACCCCTTGTTGATGAAAAATTTATGGTTGGAGATGGCTGTAGGTTGTAATGCCTCACTGTAAACTGTACTTTGTTATTCGCACCTTTTAAGTATTTCATTAATTTAATTTGCTTATACCCATATATATATAGATATGTTTTTGTTATTTTTTCAGAAACAGATTTACATAATGTGATAAAACGTGGTAATATATTAAAAGATGTACATAAACAATATATTATGTATCAATTATTAAAGGCTATTAAATATATACATTCTGGTAATGTTATACATAGAGATAAAAAGGTAGGTTATATTTGTAGTGCCTCTGGTGCCAGTCAAACCTAAAAATAGTTGTCTGACATACCATTCTTTCATAAGGGGGAGCACTCTAACTGGATATCTTATGTTTCAGAAACTGGAATATGATTCACTTATGATCTGTGGTCCGAAATTAGTTTTGCCCATACTTAAGACCTAATTGAGGTTTTGATGTCGATATATTAAGGAAAATTTTGTGAGGACAGTTGCATTAGTCAAGCACATGGGACTGCAGTTTTTATTTGTCCCATTCGATTACTAATTAAAGAAAGTTCAGTAGCATATGATTGAAAAGTCTGTTACATAACATATATTTTTTTTGTGAATCAGGGAGCCTTGTGTTATTTATTTACACCATATTGTTTTCAGTCACAGATGTCTTACATCGGGATATGAATTTTATTAACTTTTTTTCTTCGAATTTTTCAGCCATCTAATATACTATTAGATAGTGATTGTAAAGTCAAGATCTGTGATTTTGGTTTAGCTAGATCTTTAACTCAGATAGGTATAGATGAAACTGGTGATCCTAATTTAACGGAGTATGTTGCTACCAGGTGGTACAGAGCTCCTGAAATCCTTCTGGCTTCACATCGGTATGGTTTTATTTAGTCCTTATATATACATTATTGTTGTTGATTTCATGATGAAGACCCCTATCATTTTCACCATACTTGAATTTCTTCAACATTCTTTAACCGATTGCATGATTGGTCAAGACTCATGTTAGTGCTTACTGTAGAGTGCTGAGAGTTCTTTGAAATTTTTGAGAAATTGTTTTGTCCTGAACTGGATAGATATCCCAATAACAAGGAGCCACATCCTATTGAAACCTGAGCGCTCAAGCGGTGAGATAAAACAAAGATCAGGAGGTTTACACAGAATTCAAAATGACGGAGAACGGAATAGAAGAGAGAATTTTGAATGTGACATAACTGGTTCTGTACTATTTGATTGAAGCCAAAATAGAACAGACGGAAAATGTTCAGAACTAACCAATCAAGCGCCTCCTTATAATTTCTATATATTAAACAGATCATATTACATGTTATTGTAGGTATACAAAAGGCGTTGACATGTGGAGTTTAGGTTGTATATTAGGTGAAATGTTACTAGGTAAACCGTTGTTCCCCGGGTCATCAACGCTAAATCAAATAGAAAGAATAATGGCATCAATAGACAAACCAACTCGAGCAGGTAAAACTCAATTTTCTACCTATGCAAAGAATTTATTAATTTACTATAATCCTTTCAAATCGAGCATCCTCTCTACAAGTGTGAGGCTAATATGTGGTTGAGCGGCATATTTTTTAGCCAATTTTTCAAAATATATTATGATTTTTTGCCAAAAAGTGTGAAAATTTAAAAAAAAATGAAACTAGAATTTGATACCACCTTTAGACTTAACCTAGAGTTGTCGGTATATCTCAGTACAAAACTCTTACATAAAAGACAAGAGGTACAATACTTTATTTGGTTTACCATTAATTTCCTTTCTATACTTTTAGATATCGAAAGTCTGAAATCTGCCTATGGGTTTTCAGTATTAGAAAAGGCTTCTATGAAGTAAGTATGATAAATCTATATTTGTTTTTCTTACTGTAGTTCAGAAAAGTTACTTGGGTTTACTTGCCTTTTGGTAGCATTCAAAATTTATGCCTTAATGCAATACTTTTCTATTGTGGTTTCTACCACCTACAGTGAAGCAAAAAATTCATTAACAATTCGAAATTGATTAATGGAAAGCTGACATTGTACAGGCAAAAGTTCCCTCATCCATGCTGACTTTACTTCTTTGACTATGTGTAATCAGTTGTAGAAATGTAAGATTTCAAACTCCATTTTCTTTCAATATTTTGGAAGATGTGTTTTCCCATATGATATACTTGATAGCTTAATAGATCTTTGAAAATTATGTTATATGTATGTATATTGCAGACCTAAAAGAAATTTAGAAGATCTAGTCCCTGGTGCAGCCCCTGAAGCTGTTGATTTAATGAAAAAACTACTTCATTTCAATCCTGATAAAAGAATAACTGCTGAAGAAGCCTTGAAACATCCTTATGTCAGCAGGTAAGTTCTGATGATAGAAACTTAAGCTATTTTCTTAGAAATTTCATTTTTCCATATCAGTGATGTAGGTGGTAATGCATTTTAAAAATGTCAAGCTACTACAAACTTTTCCTAAAACCTTGGCATCATTAGGCACTTTTCTTGAATCACAGAAGGTTGGAACTGCAGCTATTTGATTGGATATTACATTAGCAAATACAGCCAATCACAGCCCCCCTTAACCAGCTCAGCCAAATGGTTTACAGTCTTTCTGTCAAGGGCTCTGATTGGCTATATTTGCTAGCATACAATACAGTGTGAATGTCTGGTGGCCTTGACTATGTCTTCTGTCTCAACTATTCCTAATGATTATTTTCTTATTTCCTAATATGATGTCCCACATTAGACCTGTAGATCAATTTAAAATTCCCATGATTTTTAAGGTTTCATAACCCATCAGAAGAAGTATCACTAGACTATGATGTTGTACCACCATTAAGTGATGATGTACAACTAACAGTTGAAGAATACAGAAAAAAATTATATGAAGTAAGAACATTTCATTTGACTTTTGGTATTTTGGTTTCTTTTAGAAACACCTGATGGTACTTCTATTCGAAGGAGTCCAATACAACACAACTTTTACCCTTGATTTTGCTTGTACAGATTATTTATGTAACATGCAGCATTTTGCATTGTTTGGTTGAACTTTGAAATACTTGCAACTGTCATATAAAGAGACCACAAAAACAAAATGTTTCTTGTATTATTTCACATCCAGGAATTAATGGACTGTAGGTAATTTGGTCCTTAGGGTGTCTTGAAGCATGAGTTGGGGTTCAATGATCGACGAATTCTTTTTGGAACACTTAATGTCACTCTGGGTCTATGATTGCCCAAAATCCAAAAAGATTTTTGTACGTTTTTAGTGTAGTAGCTAAATAAACCTCTACTGGATTTGAAGACATCAATTTTTTGTACTTCTATGTCAGATTAATAAGGTCAAACATATTTACTGTTAATCCTTTTGATTATTGCCTGATTTCCAGCTTTCTGACAGGTTTATACATTAATCTGATAATCCACTTACCTTAATCTTGTTTTAAGTATTTGGACTAATTACTCCTAATTATCACTTTAAGACAAACAATGGCCATACTATATATCATCATACATTTCAAAATATTTTTGTGAATTTTGTCATTTTGGAAAATGAGGCACATTATTCATGGATAATGTTTATATTTTACCCAAATAAAGAAAGTGATGGATTGTAGTCTCAAATCTTAAGCTTATCTATCTTATCTAAGATTATCTATTATATATATCTATTCATGTTATATTTTATTTTCTAGATGATATTACAGAAGAAAGCTGATCGTAGAAGACGTCGACGGAAAGATGATAGTCGAGATAGAGGAGATATGCCTCAAGATTTACGTTCACAATCAGAAAGTCCTCAGATAGAAAATAATGTTGTTCAAACACATTCTTATTCCCCACCCGGTCATTTGGCTCCTATGCCTAATCGACCCCCCTCAGAAAATCATTATAATTCACATACATCATCATTTACTAGTAAGTACCTCTCAATTTACAAGATTCCCTATTTTTATGATTTTTTTTTAATTTTACACATATATGGGCAATTAAATCTAAAATTTGAAAACAGCTCACTAGCTCAGTCAGCAATTAATACAGTAGTTCAGTCAGCACTTGATACAGTAGTTCAGTCAGAACGTAATTCACTAGCTCAGTCAGCACTTGATACACTGACTCAGTGAGCACTTGATACACTAACTCAGTCAGCACTTGATACACTAGCTCAGTCAGCACTTGATACAGTAGTTCAGTCAGTAATTGATACTGTAGTTCAGTCAGCATTTGATGCACTAGCTCAGTCAGCCATTGATACAGTAGTTCAGTCAGCACTTGATACAGTAGCTCAGTCAGCATGTAATATAGCTTGTGATTTCTAAATTTGTAGATTAGATTTGTTAATTTCATTAATATATTTTTCAGACCTAACATCTCAACCTAGACAACGATTAACCCGACAAAGAAGTTATGAAAATATTCAGGCTACACAACCTAATGGTGCTATGGTAAGAGATTTTCTGCTATTTCTAAAGTGAATCCCTTTTCCCTTCAGAGATGAGAGACATTAATCACAAAGGGTGCTAAAAGAGTTGATATTCTAATGAAAGGGAAAGAACCTCTGTAATAAGAGACACTTGTGTATGTTTAAATGAAATATTGTGAGTATGTGAATTGATATGTTTCAGGACGGCCATCAATCCTTATCTCAGTCTCAGAAGAGTAGGCAAACCTCGGCTCCTGCTGTTGCTAATAGAGGTCATCCTCGACCTATATCTGGTGCATATCGTGCTGCTCAACCTAATATAACTAGAGGTGATGATAGAACTGGTCTTATGGTCAGTAGTTCCAGATTGGTATGTTATTTGATTACTTTGGGTTGACCTTCTGAAGGTGATTAGAAACTGCCTAATCTTCAAAATGTTTGATCACTTAAAATATTCGTGGAATATATGAAAGCTGCAAACTGTCTCCTTGGTCGTAACTAAGATTTTTTGTAATAATTTACAATGATTACATGTATATGATTTATAAAGCTCATGTCTTATTTCTTTCAGGTCCCAGGTCAAAGGTCAGTCTCTGCGTCTGCACCAAGACCAAAAGCAGGCAGACGTCAATACAGTCAAGCACATCAAAATTATCCATCTACAGGAGCACCTAAATTTAACAGCTATTCTCAGGCTTATGGTACTATTAGTGCCAGTAGTTTGGCAGCGTTACAGGGCCGTAAATCATGATGTGATTCCTGAAGACCTATTTTTTTTCATTTTGATGTTTTTTTGCAAACATGCAAATTCCGTCCAATGTTTAGCATCAAGTATTTCCACGATTTCTTTTGAGGGAGTTAGTTGTCTTGAGATTCAGAGTTTTTGTTCACGTACTGTTAAATAGATACATCATTCGTGATTACTCCTGCCAAAATCATATGAGTAAGTTCAGCAGATCCTTAGAAAATAGAAGACTTTTTTGCATTGTATATGCGCTGGTAACACATTGTTTGTGATGGTAACATAGTGCATGTGATGGTAACACATTGTATGTGTGCATTTAATACATTGTATATGCACAGCAAGTGCTGTTTACACATTGTATTCATGTGCTGCAAGTTCTAGTAACACATTGTATTCATGTGCTTCAAGGGCTGGTAATTCATAGTATTCATGTGCTGCAAGATTTGATAACACATTGTATTCATGTGATGCAGGCGCTGGTAACACATTATATTCATGTGCTGCAATTCTGGTAACTCATAGTATTCATGTGATGCAAGTTCTAGTAACACATTGTAGATGTGCTGGTATTTATCAGTATTTTGTCCTGCCATTTTATAGATAAACCTTAAGTTTAGATGAACTAGTAAAAACTGTATAAAATAGTAGCAATACTGATTTATTTTGCGTGGAAAAACTCATTTTTCCTGACATTATACATTAGTTATTAGTAGATTTAGATCCCTTTCATAGAAGACAGTAGTAAACTATGTATTTCAAATAATATGTGTTTTGTCTTTATATTTATGTCTAGAAAGCAAAACATTCCAATTTTCAACAATTTTAACCAATTGTTTTAAAATAAAGTTTGCATAGATAATCAAAAAGTATCAAAAATCAATGCTGAAAATGAAGTAATTTCTTCATTTGTATTTTCTGAAAGAGATGGTGTTCACATCTTAGGCAATTCAAAACAAAGCCAAACAGTTCTGTATTTTGAGGATTTTAATGATAATGAACTCCATATTCGTTTCTTCAAGGGATTATTATTTTTTATGTGTATCAGGGACATTGATAGCATCAATTTGCACCATTCCAATTTTCAATCAGACTTCATTTCCACAATAAATAGGTGTTTGGTGATATCACTAATCGCAAAATATGCTTTATCACATAAGACCCTTCACGATTAGTGACGGCATCAAAAACTCAGTTTAAGTGGAATTACTGGAACCACAGACGTCTGACTGAAAATTGGTATGATGCAAATTAATGCTGTCAGTATCCCCGATACACATAAATAATTTAGAAAACCTCTATACAATCCCTTTAAAGTTAGGTTTATTATTGATTCTTCTTCAAAATAATGTTGGTTTTGAATTGTCCCTGAATGTGTATAATATCTTTATATTTGTGTATATACTTGGTGTAAATATTAGATGTATATAATAACATTGTAATTATCATACATATATATATATCTGAAAGATTTATTACATGGCCTGTGTGTAATCAACTCATTTCAGTTCAGTTGTTACAATGTAAGCCAGCTACCTCATAATTAGATCTAGGTTTGTCTTAAGTCGCACCACAAAAATTTCAATAATCTGTAAGCTTATACTTATTTAAGGACACAAAGCAAAAGCAGAATACCATGGAAATATCAAAAGAATTTGATTGTGTTATCTTAAGCTTTTTATTTGTTGCACTTGAGCTCATTAACCTGTGGCACTTTTTCATTGATAGTGAATTTTCCAATGGCATGATCTGTAATGGTGGTTACAGTTGAACTTGATCTTTTTCCAGGCCAATCTTTGAGAAATAAGACCGGAAAATCAAAATCGAAAACTGCTCAAACCTTCGAATTTCACTTTGGCATCCTACTATGCACCAAATTACAAAAGTTTGTAATTGTATATAGACATCACTGTATATTGCAATGTATTTTTAGTTGTAAATACCAATATTCTATTTATATTATTATTTAAATGGTCCATTTATTATTATTAATTATTAAATTATAAAGAATATTTGATAAATGATAAAAGTAATAGTGTAGTTGTGTTTATAAGCGTACTTAATTCTCCACATTATTTTCAAATGTGATATACTGTGAATTTTATAAACTGTTATACTATGAATATAATGTGATAATATCTGAATATTTCTCAGCAGGCTATGTTTCAATGTGATGTGGTGTCATTATATTCTTATGTCATATAATGCCATTATATTAATTCAATATGGTATAACGTCATTATATTCCAATGTGAGTATATTCCAATGTAATAAAATGTCATAACATTCCAATGAAAATATAATGTCATTATGTGATATAATGGTATTAAATTTCAATGTGATATACAATGTAATGTCATAACATGTGGTATAAAGTCATATTCATACTGATATAATAAGATAATTTTCTGATATAATGGCAATATACTTCTGTGTTATATAATGAAATTATATTTCAATGTGATACTATGCGATAATATTTCATAATGATATAATCAGTTTTCAATATAACGTAATTACATTCTGTTGAAATATAAGTTTATTATATAACTATATGTCTCACATCTGTGATAAAGGGTATTTTATATACTGATGTGATATAATGGGATTATCTCACTTTGTTATAAGTGGGTGATCTCATTATTTTCTGATGTAATATAATTGCGTTTATATTGAGGCAAAAAATATTTTACCTATATTTTGGTATTATATTCCAGTGTTATATTATGTGATAATTTGTAACTTACTTTTCCATCCTCGAAGATTTCCATCCATTTTTAACAACAAAATGTTTTTATTTATTTTACTATTATTACATTGTCTGTATATTTCATTTTTATGGTATTATTTTAATCAGTATCATTTGTTTTTATTACATTGCAAACTTTTCATATTCTTGTGGATGTTGTGATGCAAATATTCCACATCAGTTTAGAGTAGAAAATACTGAACATTTAAAATTTAAAACGGCTGAGCCTTATGCTATCCCTTTTTAAAAAATGTCGTGTGATTTAAACGATCACTTCTATTTTGAAATATCATGTGATTAAAGCTATCACTACTATTTTGAAATATCATGTGATAGAGCTATCACTACTATTTTGAAATATCATGTGATAAAAGCTATCACTACTATTTTGAAATATCATGTGATTAAAGCTATCACTACTATTTTGAAATATCATGTGATAAAAGCTATCACTACTATTTTGAAATGTCATGTGATTAGAGCTATCACTACTATTTTGAAATATCATGTGATAAGAGCTATCACTACTATTTTGAAATATCATGTGATTAGAGCTATCACTACTATTTTGAAATATCATGTGATTAGAGCTATCACTACTATTTTGAAATATCATGTGATTAGAGCTATCACTACTATTTTGAAATATCATGTGATTAGAGCTATCACTTTTATTTTGTCGTATTTAAAACATTCATTTTATTACCAACGTTTATATTTACTGTAAAATTCCCTAAAGCGTCCATTCATACCTTATGATTTTTGTGTATGAACACATCTATTATGTGAACAGTGATACTTTATGAATAAATATAATATAATGAAAATGCGATGCTTTTTATCCTGAAATTAGTTCATTTGCTAAAAGAGTGAACAATTTTGTATTTATCTGCATTCATTGTAACAAATGAATTTGCCTTTAACCATATGAAAAGTTTGTTCTTGAATCCCTGGGTCCTCTGGAATATGGATGTCGGATTCAATTTCTCATCAAGCGAAAACAGAATAACAAGAAACCTACATTGTAAGATCAGTGTATCCAATGACTTAAAATTTATAACTGCCATTCCTATCCAATATCCTTTGAGCCAGAAGTCAAATGAATATTTTGGGTCAATAGTGTCTACCATAGAAGAAAGCTCAGATTGTGGAAGTGAAATGGTACAATCAGAAACCATGGGGGAGCTCAGAGAGTCAGACGCTTGCTCGCTAACCTAAAGGGCCAAGGTTCAATCTCGGCATAGGTCGAGATGATACCTGTCCGTCCTGCAGAGGGGCTGACATTGAAAAAGCGTCTAGTCGTTTGGATGGGACAATAAACCCAGGCCTCGTGTGCTACAGGCTGTGCACGTTAAAGATCCCTCAATAGTTTGAAGTTGAAAATAGCAGACCAATGCCGCTGTCCCTCACTGTAGGCCTACCCGGCATGGCGTTGCCCGTCTTTATTAGACCACATGGTGCAGAAAAGTAGGACGTAGAACTCCATATATTCCAGTCTCTTGGAATAAGTCCTTATATTGGCGGGATGTTGTCCTGCGTGATTAAGACTGTTTTTTTTCTGGAAAAACCACCTGAGGTAAATTCAGATTCAGTGATACCAGCGTGGGTTTGAATATATCAGGACAAACATCGTATAAGTTATTCAAATAACACTATTGTATTGTAATTAATCTAATGAAACATCATCAATAAATATAATAAGATTCAAGAGCTGTTTCCACAGAACAGTCTAAATATATCTAATGATTGCCGATTTCTGTGTTCAATTTTATGTACTTAAAAGATATTTTTTTAGTCTGATTATTGTGAACTTAATGTGGCTTTAACTGAAATTGCATCACGATTGCCATTTTACCAAGCTTGTGCATGTGCAATTGGATCCCAATTTTTTTTTATTTGGAAAAGCGACCTCATGTCATATTATCCGTATAAGTTATAAAGCGTAACGTGAGTGAATCTATCCCTTTAAATAAAGTTGTCACTCGTTGAGCACAAAATTCCCCAGTTGACATGCATTCAGCTATAATGGACTTCAGGCTTTAGTTATCAAGAGATTTGATGAAATATCTTTAATTAATATGGAATATCTTTTTTTTTCTCTCACATCAATAATCATATTTAACTAACAATCTATATACCAACATGATAAAAACTCTTAAATACGAAGTATCGGAATATGAAGGAGATCACGTGATGTGGTTCATTCGCCTCGTTCGGTTTAAGCAAACAAATGTCGAAAATTTAAACACAGTATCATACAAATCATGAATACAGACAAGAAAAAGTCTTAAAATAAATCCAAACTGACATCTTTAATAATTGACTCTGTTAACATAGTTTAGTTATATTTTTTAAACGAGCGTAATAAGAAATGGCGCAATTCGATTTCCCGCCAAATTTCATTAGTCAATAAAGATAAAACAATTGTTATCGAAGACAGTTTCTTTTTTTATTTAAGCAAAGTTTCTACTAGAAATCTCTAGTCTTTATCAATTATTGCTTGATAAAGACAAGATTATCCTAGTCGAAACGTCGCTTATATAAAATCAGTAACAGTATTTCCTAACCATTGTCTAAGGCCTGTCTATTCATTAGTCGTGTTTGGAGCCGTGAAATGGACTAGGCGGTAGACCTTGAAAAGCTCGTGTTAATGCGTGTCCAGAGTAATAAATACCTATAGAACCACATGCTAGTCCAATTACAATAATAGCTATATCCAGTATTTTATATGTAATGCTCATTGTATGCCACTTTATCTTTAAATGAAAGTAACATGGCCAAACAAACGATAACATGGTTCCTGTAAAACTACCTATTAAACCCATCAATATGGCAAAATGTGGAATGATAATTGCTAATAATGTTGTAAAAACTACTAAAGCTACTCTACAAATTAGCGCCCAAATCTTTAATCTATGGGTATTGTCTATACACGCTGGAAATACAGTTTCCGGTCTACCGGCAAATAATGACGTTTCTAATAATTCTACCGCCGCGAAATATGGAAGCGGGTAGGATAACTGAGCTTTAGCGACTAATATCATATTAACAATGATTTTAAAAACTTGAGTGGGTAAATTGTTACTAATCACTTCTTTGGTAGCAAAACCCCAGGTTAGAAATCCAATGTAAGAGAAGCCAGCTTTAAACACAGCCGCCGCTAAATGAGTCCAATGCATCATACACGTGAATTTACTCTTGTCTTCTAAATTACATTCTAGCGTGGGTAAGAATATTTGAGACGTATAACTGAATACAACGATCCCAAGAGAAATTGGGAATGTCCAGATATTGATCCTAACTTGAACGTCTGACCAATGCCATTCTGTGACACGTGTGAAACAATAAATGATTATGATGGCATTAATCAACATATGAGCTACTGTACACCAAAAACTCAGCATTGAAACACGCTGTAATGATTGTAAAAATGCACAAGCCAGGAGTGGTATGGTGCTGACCATTATCCACGATGAAAGTCCCAACGGGCTGTCTGGAAAACTACCTTTGATGAGGTCACCACATAAGAGCACATAAAGTATACACGTCATTAACAATTCTATAATTTGTGCACAATCCACGATCCTACCTCCAAAACGTTTCCCCCACACATGCTCGGCAATTTCAACGTAGCTGTTTCTAACGCGGACCTTCCTTCCGTGTTCATTTTCTTCGTAAAGGCATTGGACGAGTATTTTACCGGTATGACAACAGATATATGCTACCACTATCATGGAAAGTATAGCCCAATATCCACCTTGAACAACCGCATAGGGAAAACTCACTATGAACATTCCCTGAAAAATAACCAAAAATATAAGCATATTAGCAATCTGTAAGAGTTTCAATGAAGAAACCACGATAGGTATGACAGTTAATAGAGGATGTGGTTTAGAGGGGTTTCATTTCAAAGTGTTTTGATTTTAAATCATTTCGAGAACACACTCACTGTGAAGTCATTCAAGAACACTGTTAGATCTCTCAAGACAACTTTGCTTTTCAGATCATGAAAAAGAACTTTCATTTATTCTGGCCGAATCACTCACACCGCACACTCAGATCACTCAGGAACATCATCCTTTCAGATTATTCAGGAACATCACCCTTTCAGATTATTCAGGAACACCTACCCTTTCAGATTATTCAGGAACATCTACCCTTTCAGATCATTCAGGAACATCCACCCTTTCAGATCATTCAGGAACATCCACCCTTTCAGATCATTAAGGAACACCCACCATTTCAGATAATTCAAGAAAACCACCCTTTCTGATCATTCAGGAAAACCACCCTTTGAGGTCATTCAGGAACACCCACCCTTTAAGATCATTCAGGAACACCCAACCTATCAGATCATTCTGGAACACCTACCCTTTCAGATCATTCAGCAACACCACCCTTTCAGATCATTCAAGAACACCCACCCTTTCAGATCATTCGGGAACATCCTCCCCTTTAGATCATGCAGGAACACCCACCCGTTCAGATCATTCAGGAACACCCACCCTTTCAGATCATTCAGGAACACCCACCCGTTCAGATCAATCAGGAACACCCACCCTTTCAGATGATTCAGAAACACCCACGCTTTCAGATGATTCAGGAACATCCACCCTTTCAGATGATTCAGGAACACCCACCCTTTTAGATCATTCAGGAACATCCTCCCTTTTAGATCATTCAAGAACACCCACCTTTTCAGATCATTCAGGAACACCCACCCTTTCATATCATTCAGGAACATCCGCACTTTCAGATGATTCAGGAACATCCGCCCTTTCAGATGATTCAGGAACATCCTTCCCTTTAGATCATGCAGGAACATCCTCCCTTTTAGATCATGCAGGAACACCCACCCTTTCAGATCATTCAGGAACACCCATCCTTTTCGATCATTTCGAAACAAGTAAATAATAACAGTTTATATTATCTAAACTAAAATCAGACTATACCTGGATTGCATTCGTAACATTCCATCCGGCTTGCCATTCTGATATTCTGTCTTTAGGATTGACATTAAAATCTGATAATTCATCCACAACACTGCTACTTTCACTCAATCCATCTGACCAGGACGCTTTGCGTATACTACCATTTTGTAACGTTGATAGTTCCTTCTCGCTTTCTGAATATGAGAAGTGGGCAAAGTTGACTTTTTCCTCTTCTGTGCCTTTTCTAGGTAAATAGGACCGAGCTGTCCGAAACATCTGACCTAATCTGTCCTTTAACGGGTCCATCTTCTAGCTAAAAAGATAAGTAAATATCATAAAAAAAAATGTAGCGTAGTATGATAAGTAGCATATCTTGAGTTTTGTTATCAACTCTAATTCACCTGATGATTTTAATATTATTACATGGAAATGGAAATTTGTTCTTTTCATGTTCAAACATAGGAAGTTTCGAATGTAGTTCTATGAGACATTCTCTTAGACTTCAACTAGAGTACGCTTTTTGTCAGATGTTTATGTCTGGCAGCAGTCTTTTTTAGCTTTTTTTAAATCCAAATCATGAAAGGTCAATCAGAAATGTGTTTAAACTTAGTCTGAAAATCTTTGACCTTATATTCACGATTTCGTCTATCGGAAGGTAAGGCTGCTATGTTTTAAAAAAATGGGTTTTGTGGTGAAGTTTGAGAGGTCCTCACACGAAAATAATCCTGATCCTCTAAACTTTTCCAAGGCGACAAGCCATCAAAATTATCTATCAGAACCTGTAGATATAGAACCTCGGACTAACTCGACTAATTGGCAAAACGGGTGAAAACGGTTAACGCTTGAAATTTGATTTATTGGCATTTCTTGGATATTTTGATACTAGCTTGCAATGTGCTTACTGAGTAATGAAAATATGTCGTTCCCTGGAGAGGATGATGACTTGATTAATGCCGTGAAGTGGTATCATACAATTATACCATTTCCAATCAACTGTAATAACATGCTCAATTCAATATTCGGTGAAATTTGGCTCTTTTCTATGTGGATTTCAACATTTTTCCCAGTTGAAATGGGGCGAGTGATTTTTTTCTGTAATTTTTACAACCATGAAGGTCAAATAGATATTTATATGATTAAATACAAGAATAGATGCAAAAGCAGAATTTTAAAGGTACTGATTACAATATTTCGAAGCCAGACGGTCAAATCTTCGAAAAATAAGAACAGTGAAACTTGAATAAAACTGGTGATAAGCTCCTACTTTACAGGTGACACAACCTGTTTTAAAGTTTGGGAAAACAGTAATAGTAAGGCTGTTACTGACAAAAATTCAGAAATTGTGGTCGATATCACAATCTTCAATCCATACAATATATTCCACAAAATACCAGGAATCACTAAGGATTACGATGATAATGCCATCGACCTTCGCATCAGGAAAAATGTTTTAAATAAATTAACACTTGAAGTACATCAATATCTAAAATTATAGTCTTTCTCCACTTTCTCACCATTGGCAGATAATTTATAACCTTCTGAGATAGTCGTATTTTCTAAATTACTGGCTAATTTTTGACAATTCCTATGTTTTTTCGATGGAAGTAGACTGTGAAAGTGAGAAATACATTAAAATAAATATCATGTTCTTAGCAATCTGATGACAATTCAGAAGAGGTATGAGCTGTTCTATTTTACAGTTATTTTCTGGTGATCGGAAGCGCCACTTCGTAAAGAATACTATTATATATAGGAAATTATTATACAATAAACAACTGCAAAAACAAACTTCATACTATCGATACGTCCTTTATCGCTATCGATACGTCCTTTATCGCTATCGATCTAGGGTATATGTAAGGTAAAAGGGAATCAGATTGATTCTACAAAACACATAATTGGCAAGCTGCGCAATATATATATATATATATATATATACTGTTCAATGAACAGACACAATTACCAGTTTAAGGTGACATCACACCATAGCGATTACCAGTTACGTATCGTGGCGAATAATGGCTATGAGTTTCACAACTAAATTGCATGAGAGTTTGAAACCTACGAGCGTTATTCTTATGCGTAACGAAACGCAACTGGTGACCCCTATGGTTTAAGGCCTTTTAAAGGAAATATATTCTCTTCTGTTCTATTTTCCTACAGACCTTGGATCTTTTCGTCGACCTGAGCTGTCAGAATCTGCGAGCATCCGGTTGATCGCTCAAAGTTTCGCTCATGTCGACTGCAATGGTTCCGTTGAGATAATTTGAATCGCTTGTCGACCTGAGACTAATATTAAATTAGGTAATCATATTTTTACTATTTCATTTTTGCGACGAAAATGTCGTCTGCCTTCCAATGTCCAGCGAATGACCGTTTATTTACAAATTTATAATGCTTCCATCATTCTTCTAAGCGGGTGTTATCAGTATTCACATAACGCTATAAAAAGAATGTCTGCAGGCACTGTAGGCTATAGTATGTCGATATAATATGGAGTTGATTAAGAATTATCTACAAGTGAAAATCAATGCGCGTCAACAAGTGATATGATCACCCTTATCTCATTTCGGGACTCTTTACATATTAGTTTTCATATTCCAAGACTGGATTTGTGTTTAACTATAATTTTCTTCTAATTCTCCAAGGTGTTGGATCTTATTTGATCTGATCTGATTTTCTAATGAATAAAAGTCGGAATCAAAGAATGATAGACGACAGTTGGTCGCAAGTTCAACGATTTATAAAGAATTGTTTACATGGGTCGAACGATTTAGGCGGTGATAAAATGCCTCTGGTGATATGGAAAAGCTGTTGCTGAATCTTGTTATAAAGGGTTTAGTGAAAAGAGCTGTATTAAAGCAATATCATAATACATATATAGCCTTTATTGCGGTAGGCTACTCTAAACAACAGAATTTGTTGGTTTCTTTATCTCTGTTCTTTTTGATGTTTTTACAAATTATTTAGCATGGTAACTACGTTTCTGTTAGTTGTTACTCATTGGATTGTTTTGGTAGTATCGTCGAGTCTGTTACAGTTAATCGCAGACCCAACTTAGATGTCTTAGTTTTTTGGCAAAGTTTCTCTTGGTAAGACGGACTCTTTCCATTTATAAGGCGCAAATTGTATGGTCAGTCAATTAGCATAATGTGGTACGACATACAGAAATTGGTATATTTGAACATAATCACCGGATGTTGAATATCTTAATTTAAACAAAATATATACAGTCTGTATCCTTAGGCACAGAAATCATTGACTCACTTTTAATGACAACATTTGGTGGACCTAATTTTACGTTGCTATAAATTACGTCGAGGATTCGTTTTTGCTTACCAACTGATACCGCGATTTTGGCTATTTGACAATTTAGTTGTAAAGGCACGGTGGTTTTATCAAAAACAAGATGATAGAAAGGACCCTCGTACACGTACACCCTCGAGAGTGTCGTTCCGAAGCACCATCCTCCTCTCCCCCACTACCGCAACTCAAACCTTTCTCCACTTCTATGCCATATGTAATGATCTATCCAGGCAGGGGCTGGACAAATTTGATATCCGATCCGATCCTTAAATTATCCTCACGGGCTTATTCTATTCAAGTAATTCGTTAGGAATCCCAAACTACACTCATGGGTCATAGGCCATGGCTCCACTTAGTATGAACTCTCCCGAAAGTCAATCTGTTAAAAGTTTCAAATTAAATGAGAATTATCGGACGGACACCCGTCACCTTTACTTGTTGTCTCAATTCTCCAAACTAATTTGTTTTAAAACAACCTGATCGATGCAGAAGTGATTTGATTTACGAGCAGACTACCAACTGACAATATTCTTACGTTATTGTAACGTCTTAACCGGAAACAGACGTCTTTTATTTCAATAACACGTATATTGATATTATCCAAATTAAAAACTTCGCGGATATTTACTGAAACAATACGCTTATAACCAATTTGACCATCTCTCGATGAGTTTTTGTCTAAAATTAATAAACGTTTCTTCAATGACACTCTTTTCGTATTTTCACTCAAAATATCAGTGTAGTTCTGGTCTGATTTATACGAATCTTATTCTGATTTTTTACATCAAAATTTTGTGCAATTTTTGAAGAAATTTTCACTTGAATTAAAAATGTAAGTAAAGTTCTGTAATGAAATAGCTATCATTTTTTTTTTGCCTGCAACGTATTAGACTATGGGACTAACCAATGCAACAGCACCAAATCACCTACTCCTCTTGGAGTCCATACTTCCATGTGATCGTTGAATCATGAAACCTGCAATCTGGGCGACATATGTGCAAAAGTGTTGTTTCAGATCAGTGCTAAGAATTCAAATTGTATGAATGAAGAGAATAGCCAGTTGTCATAAATCTTACTCGTGACAGACGTAAAACTGTTGATTTAATTCCGAATAATGTTTCTAACTGTTGGAGACAGTCAAGGGAATCGTTGGTATTTCTAATCAAATTTCGGCTTGGGAAATATATAATAATCAAGGATAATTTTCAAGTTGTAAGTAATACAGGTGAGAAATTTTCATTAGTTAAAAATTAAGATATACTGACTACAAAGTGCATTTGACAGTTGATAATTTGAAAATATTATGCGTAACCTACACTAGCTACAAAGTGCATCTGATATTTATGATAATTTGAAAATATTATGCGTAACCTACACTAGCTACAAAGTGCATCTGATATTTATGATAATTTGATAATATTATGCATAACCTACACTAGCTACAAAGTGCATCTGATATTTATGATAATTTGAAAATATTATGCGTAACCTACACTAGCTACAAAGTGCATCTGATATTTATGATAATTTGAAAATATTATGCGTACCCTACACTAGCTACAAAGTGCATCTGATATTTATGATTTGAAAATAAACATATTACTATGAAATTTGCTAATATTTATACTTCAGATGCTTAAGAGCGCAAAACAGCTCCCAGAATATCTACGCGTCTTCTAATAACCAGAACACAAACACAATATTTAAAAGAATATATCATATTTAATCGTCGATTATCAAATGTATCTCTTGACAAAAAGTACTTATACTTATGTGAGTTCACAAAGTCTCTATCTACGTAAATGATATTTTTATAAATTCCAAAGAAGAAAAACAAG